ATTCATCTGCTACATGCTATATGAACTGACTTGAGGTCCTCAGCTTTTCTGGTCCATGAGAGATCCATTTCTTAGCTCCTGTGACAGGACACATCTAACATAGGGTCATCTAACATGTCAAAACCAAACAAACCCACCGCCCCCTCCCAACAGGGGTTGTTTTTACAACTGACTGAATCTGAATCTGTGAATGGAACCGGGTTCAGAGCATTTTGCTAACRCCAATTGACACACAGTTCTACAAGCCTCAGCAAACGTTTGAGGAGGGTGGAAAGGCAGACTAGCAGAATTAGAACAAAATCTGACATTTGTTTTGCATGTGTACTTATTTTCAGACACTGCTGGTGTTTGTTGCTGTAAATATTGGATGAGTTAGTGTGCACAGCTGTTAAAAAGGAGTATTTTATTATATAACATTAACCTATGCATTCCCACCTTCTGCTTCTGACAACCTGCTTAAAAGATCTTAGGCATTACAATAGGCTTGACAAACCTGTCCCGTGCTCTCTAACATCCTAGAGCATCCTCAAATATCTGCCTGCTGGATTCAAAGCTCATGTCTCTTGGAACTTCCTTGTGGTCAGAGGTGGGCAATAGGCTGTAACCGAGGGAAACCCCAGCATGAATCTGGTACCCATCAGATCTGCTGCAACATTTGCATACTCCAGAGACAGCTAAGATACAGAAGCTGAGACTTCAGGAGCAAAGCAGACTTGGMAGGGAGGAAAAAAACTGACTTTTCCAGTTGTCACTTGAGGAAAAAAAACCCTCATTTTACATAAGGGGGAAAAAAAAATTCTGCACAAGTTTCTGTTAAGAGTTGCATGCCAAGAAGAAATTGAGTAAGTCAGTGTGGATCTGCCTACAGATATTTGCAATGGTGAAGAGGTAGAGTAAGTACAAATCTTTTCAACGACATTTTTCCTGTAGGATGGATGACAGTGTTCATCCTCAAATACGGGATTCTGAAGGACATGCATTAATGTATTTCTTGCACTTGAGGATGCACGTTCGTGAATCTGTTTGTCTTGCCCACCTACCTAAGCCAGCATGCCTCCTTCCAAAAAGGCATTTTTTCCTCCATGTTAAGCACTGTGGAGAAGTCTTTAAGCTTTAGCTACATACTCACTTAGCCCTACACAAAAATGGAGCCATGGATACAATGGGGAAATGCTAAGTTATCCCAAATCATAAAAAATGAGAAGCAGGAATGTAAAACTCTGAGCACGAAGCCCAGAGATGGAAGCCCTCGGTTCCTGCTGCCTATAAGCTGAGGCAGGTAGYGGGGCAGCTGGCAGTGCCACTGCCTGCTCCCAAGGTGATCAGACTGCCCAGGTACCTGGGGCTGCAGGCAAAGCAGGGGCTGGGCCTGCACCAGCCTTACCCACTAGCCCAGGACCAACAAATAATTGAGCTTGGGCAATTTAGAAGGAGAAACAGCTCTATTAGAAAGAAGAATAAAAACAGCTATTAGGAGGGAGGGTTGGGTAGCAGTCTCTCAGTGCTGGGGTAATTATGGCGGGTGCTACCGCAGGCACAGAGGTAAACAGCTTAATAGGGAGAATTTCTTAATTCTCTTGAGCCATTCCATTTTACGTTTATGTTACACAAAGCCACGCTGTGCAATAAGCTTAGTGCTCGCAGGCAGTTCACAGCAGCGCTCTCCATCTGCATGTTTCCAAACAGGGTCCTTGGGTACCCTCAGTGGACAGGGCCCCAGCRGGCAGCTCACACAGCGCACCGTGACTTTGGGGAGGTTGTGTAATGATAACCCTATAACCAAAACAGGGCACGCAGCTGAAGAGTTGTCAGAAATGCAAATGCTACTTTCGGTAGGACAAATGACTGTTCGTATCTTAGAAAAACTTTTTCCCCTGAGGAAAAGTTCTAAAAATTACTTTTTTGAGAAAAATAACAGTGGTTGGGTTTGTCTGCTTTAAACCTATCGATATCATCCAAGCTTCTTTGCAGCTAACATAAACTTAGTCGTGACTGCCGGCAACTCTGGCCTGTGTGGCGCAGCAGCCAGCGCCAGGGCAGCTGGGCTCGGCTCTGCGGCTCAGGCAGAGAGCGCCGCTTCCTGCGCTCAGAGAGCCCCATCTCTGCCCCAAGGAGAGCAGCGGGCAGCCGGGCCGGGCAGCCGGGCTCAGCGCTGCCGGCCCCGCTCCCTCCGCCGCTCAGCGAGGCCGTGCCCGTCCCGCGTCAGGCCTGGGCGGCAGGTGCTGCGGCTGCTGCGCGCTCCCCAGCAGGGACTCCGGGACAGGATCCCTGTGCTGGTGCCCAGGGCTGGGCGGCTCCAGGCCTGGGGTGACACCAGCTTTCCAGCAGGACGGGCAGCGAGGGGAGGTCCAGCCGGGCATCAGGGCACGCAGGAGGTCGCTCGGTTCCAACCTCGCCCAGGGTTTGCGCATCCCCAACACTCTCCCTCCAAAAACCCCCGTTCGCTTCACGCCTCCCTCTCCGCCAACCTCCGCACGCTGCTCCAAAATCCCCACGCGCGTCATCCCTCGCACACGCTGCCCACGCGCGCCCTCCCACACGCCTCACCCCACGCACGCCATGCCCCAAGCCGCAGAGCATCGCACTGCACAGCACCGCATTGCACTGCACTGCATTGCACCGCACTGCGCCGCCAACGGCCGCCCCCGCACGCGGCTCCGTTTGAACGGGCCACGCTCGCGCGCAGCCAACGGGCGCAACGCCGGGCTCTGACGTCACGGGTGGCGGGGCCGGGGGGCGGCCCCGCGCCGCGCTGCGCTGCGCTGTGCCGCGCGCGCCTGGACGCGCTGTCAGCGCCCGGAGCCGCGTCCGCCGGGGCGCATGTTGATAGCGCCGAGGAAAATGAGGGTAAGAGCTGGTACTGCTGCTGGTACTGCTGTTAGTGCTGCTGCTAGTGCTGCTGCTAGTGCTGCGGGTCGGCTCGGTGCTGGGGCTCCGCCGCGCCGCGCGGGGGGAGCGACGGGGCTAGTTTTTACCCAAGCGGGGAAGGAAGAAGGAATGTCGGGCTGAAGTGGACGGATCTGCACCCTGCAAACTTCCCGCGCGCGGCGGCCGCTCTGCCCCGCCGGGCGCGGGGCAGCGCGGGCGGCCGGCGGAGCGCACGGGCGCCGGGAGCGCCGGGAGCCGCCGCCAGCACCGGGAGCACCGGCCGCGCCGGGAGCCACCCCGAGCGCTGCCGCCCGCGCCGCTCCACGCGGACCAGCCCGAAGGGGCCAGCGACGCTGGCGCCAGGGACCGTAACAGGGAAGGGGAGCCGGGCGAGGAGCGGCGCGTTACGCAACGCGCGCCAGCCGCTTGTCAGAGCGCGCGGCGCGGGGCTAGCGGGGGAGCCCGAAACGCGGGCGGCCCCCGCGCCTCGCCGCACGCGCAGCGCCGTGCCCACTGCTTGGGAACACGCGGGCTCCCGCGGATCCCGCCGGCGTGTCCAGACGCGGAGCTGCGTGTCCCAAACTCCGCTCCGCAGCACAGCCTCCCTGGTCACCACCAACCTGCTGCTCTGTTTCACCTTACGGGAGCTGCAGTTCCTGAGGGCTCGGATGCCCACTCCGTATATGTGAAAGGGTTCTGGTTCAAGCAATTCACTTTACCAGCCTTCCTATCCATAAGTGACAACTTTTGTTTACCCCAGTGGAGGTATTACTGGTATTCTTTTTTCCTCATACACCTGGAACTTTAATCTGAGCTTAAAGAAGCACATTCACTGTTTCAGGTTGCAAACATGAAGGACTGCTTTTCAAAGGGTATTTGAAAGGAAAAAATGCGTAACATATTAAGACATCAAAAGAATATAAGTACTGGATTGCTCTGCAGTTGTCTCAAGCGCTGCCTAAAAAAAAAAAACCCAAAAACTTTACCATTTAAGGCTTTCTGTCCTTAAACTAGTTTTTGAAGAATTGCTGAAAAGAGAGAGAGGGGGCCTATGTCTGTGGCTCAAGTGCACTTAGAAATAGCTGCCAGTTTCAGGGTCCTGGTAATGGCCTAATCTTGCTTCTCTGTGCAAATGCTTCTCAGAGTGCAACATCTTTGAGGCGGAGGGTGAGAGAGCAGCCAAAGGGATCACGGCTGATATCCCCTTCCCTCTGCTTTCTGAGCAAGCCTGTTTGAGCAGGGCACAAGCTGTTGCTTTGGTACCGATGCTTAATAGGAACTTCAGCCTTTACATTCAGTGGCAGAGTGTTTTGTTTGGCTGTCACCATATATGTAAGTGGCAGTCAGTTAAAACAACAACAACAAAAGAGCTTACAAGTGGTAACTACAACATAGGGATATAGTTTGTGGCCAAGAGGCAGGGGTAGGAACCCAAAACCTTCATGTGGTTTGTGTGTTACGACAGCAGGCTTTTCCTAGGCAGAAATTCTCCAAAGAGACTGTTATTAGAGTTATGTATTACAGCATATGCATTCAGTTCCGGATGGTGCAGTGTACTAAAAAAGTCAGTTTTGTTCAGATTGTAAATTCCCCACCGCTTCTGGTGACATCCATGTGTCAAGAGTGTGTGCAGAGGAAGATGCACATTTGTCAAGGCCTGGATTCCATCTAGCAGAGCAGAAGTGGTGGAGGATTTCTCACAAATCAATCACTTTGTCCAAGAATTAGACTTCAAAAAGAATAAAAAGAGCAGCATTAAACTATCCTTTTTTTCCCCATTGTGTTCAGCAAAGCACCATTTTGGCAATTTTAAAACTCAAAGTTTTTGCATTTTCATCCCTGTATAGTTCTATACAAAAACAACCAGAAGAAAACAGAGAAAAAAGAAAAGGAGTGATGAGAAAACCCATTCCAGCTCCTGCATCTACAGCCTCACAGTGCAATGCTCATTCCAAACCCCAACGAGAAGTCACAGACAGGCAGCTGTTCAGATCCAGAACTTAGCTCTCATGCCTGGAATGCATCCAGTCAAATATGTGGCTGTGCTAAATGTATGCCTGCCTCTCGGCCACGCACTAGACATCCACAAAGAGAGCTTAACCCTCTTTCTTTTTCTCGCCCCACTTCTACAGGAAACTATGCCCCAGACGCCAATATTTTCCAGCATGCTTGGTTCCAGTTGTAGTGGACAAGTGCAGCCCGACATGGGAGAAAGATGTAGCGACCCTGTTTATCAGGATGGAAACCTTATTTCTGGATCACTGGAGGCCTTGATAGAGCGCCTGGTGCCCACCATGGACTATTATCCAGATGTAAGTAGACACGGGTGGGATGGGATTTTCTTCCCAGGGCTTTCCTGCATTTAGATCCTGATAGGTGCTTCCTCAGGAAGTTCCACCCCACCCCTATCTGAATCAAGATTAAGAAACCAGCTAATGAGGTGTTTATTTTGCTTGCAGTAACCATTCACAAAAAGACGTTGCTCACTGGGGACACACTCCCTTCTGCTCTGAGACAGGAAAAGTTGTTAGAAAGAACAAGTTGAGCCCCAACGACACCTTAAGAACCAATTCAAAGCAGCATCCAGAACAGTTTTCAACCCCTGTAAGCTGTTTTGGCTGTAAAATAGTCAAGATTAGCTAAGGATGTAGATGAACTCCTATTCAGCTGAAATTGGTTATATTTTTTCTTTTTTTTTTTTTTTTCTTTTAGTTAGATCATAAGAAAATAAAAGCAATTAAATTAAAATGCTATTTTTCAACACATTTTCACTGGCCCACACTATAATGATGTATGCTTCTGAGCTTGTAAATAATTTTACAACTCATCCTCACCACAACTTGCTAAAGTAAACACCACATTTAACGACATAACTACGGGGCAAGCCATAATATTTGGGACCCAGGATATTATTAAATGATCATTTTAACGCTTTAAACACCCCCTTGTACCTATTAAAGGAAAGTTTCATTTAGTTGCCAAAGATCAAAGAGCTTATGCCCTGTACTTTCCATTTGCGCTCTGAGGACGTGGCAGCTATAGTAGAAATTCTAACTGTTGATTTAAAGACTTAACAGGGTGACTCAAAATTGCCATCGTTATCGACCGATACACTCAGCTTACACAGTGGGTGGTGCCAGGGAATATATCTTGTAGCAGTGTTTCTCTCTCGAATCTATGTACAACCTTTTGCTTGGGTTTCACATTATGTAAGCATGTTTTGATTTTCCACTTGGAAGTAATCCTAAACCTCGCATCTGAGTATGTACTACCTTTAACAGATGCTGATTTAGTAGCGAGCCCTTAGAAGACACAGAGGGGCAACAATTGCTTGGCATTGAACTTCCATTTCTCAACCCTCCTCATCCCCTCAATGCACATTATAGAACAGATGCAGAAGAAAACAGCAGGAAGAGCTTGAAGAGAACCTTGAAATATTGTGTAACAGTTAAACAGCTGTAGGCTGCTGCAGTTAAGTGTTCCAGGGAACACATCAGTTCCTTGCTTTTTGTTCAATATCAAAACACAGTTGCTTGCTGCCTGGATTTCTTCTCAATCTAGCTGGTCTTTAAGTAGCTGCTAATGCATGTTCCTCATTGTAAAATGGAATCTATTTATACCATAACAACTCTGAAAATGGTTCCATGAGGTGAGCATTACTTAATGAGCCTAAAACTTACTTTGGACTCCTGCTCGTTTCCATGCTGTTAACCCGTACACTGTTACGGAGCACTGCAAGCCAAGTGGTCACAGAGCCCACTTCAGGAGGCTACAGTTCAAACATAAAACAGGCTGTCAAAGGAGAGCTCTACAACAGAAGCAATCAAGGAAACTCCTGGGAAAGGGATATAGAAAACAGTTCTAAGGAAAATTTATCCTCTGTGGAGCAGGACATATTCCTTTTCTATTAGATCCCTCCATTAATTAAGCCGAAAAGATTATAAAACAAGTAGATATATCAGCTTTGAACAACATAAAGAATAAGCTGTATTTGACTTGTTTCCAGGCCCAAGTTTTCTATTTCAATATAGCTTTGTGTTTGCATTTAGTTTCACATTCATTTCTCTTTTTAGGGAAACTGCCATGAAAGGTTGGAGCAATTGCCATTTACTCTGATAACCTGTCATAAAACAGTAGCCGATAATGGGTGTTCAGAATAAAAATATCAGCACCTCTCAGTCCCCCGTCACTGCCCACATATGCAGAGGAAGGCAGCAAGGCATCACCAGCCCATTCGCACCAAGAATCCCTGCTGTAAACACCATCAGAGATTGCTTCAGGGCCTGAAGGGCACACTTGTAAGCCACCCAACAGGAGCTGTACTCGCCCAGACTGAGGGATTCCCACATCTCAGCCTCAGAAAGCATCCAGGCTCCTCCTGACACTAGTCTAGAGATCACAGTAACCTCTCAGACACAAAAAAAAAAGCACAAAAAAGGGCAGTATCTTTCTGTGCTGGTTACAGAGGCAAAACAGAGATGCGTGTGCCATGTTGACAGAACAGGGGACAGCCAAGGGAGGACAGAAAAGATAAGGACCCGCACTTGTCTGCTGCTCTTTCGAGGCTCGTTTGTGTGCAGGGGCTTGCTGAGCACACAGGCAAACGTATCCTCACGGGACAGAGGAGTTCGGGAGGTTAGGAATGGAATGTACCAGTCTGCAACCCCTGTGCCCAAGCAAGAAAATGTTTTAAGCAAGTATTTCACAAACAAGAAGTTCCAGAATGAGCAGTGAGTGCGCAGAGAAAATATTTTTCTTCTTTTCCCCCTAAAGATGACATTAGAACATTCTCGGGTCAGAGAGTAACAATTCCTTCTTTAGTCTTGTGCACTCACTCGCTCTCTGCTTTTTTTTTTTTTTTTTTTTAATAAAAAATTCAGCTCATCTCTTAGCAACAACTTTCGTCACTAAAGGAATCTGCCTTCTTTTTCTCCTGTAAAGCACAGCCCCTTTTGTGTCAGCTTAAGTTGCTCCAAGGGCAGAGAGGAGGTTTCTTTTTTATTTATTTTTTTTTCCTCCCCCAGAATAAGTGGAGTATAATTTTAAATCTGTCAGATTATGGATTTTTTTTTAAAATCATTCCATCTCAAAACAACTAGCTTCATATCTAAATTTCCTTCTCAAAATCATCATCTTCATGAGCACAGCAACTACTTAAAAGAGATTACAGGCATTCACACTGCTACAGCATGTCTTGCCTATAATGTGAATAGTATTCCAGGTGTGACAAATCACAAAGTCTCAACATAACTAAAGCCATGATGTGTGTATGAAATATTTCCTACCACAAACAACTATGTTTCTAACTCCTGAGATGAAGCTGAGGTGTATGGTTTAGTTCAACGTGAATTTTCTGTACTGGACAGGAAGTGGTTATGAGCATAAAGGCAGGGAGATAGGGCTCAATACTTCTGTCAAACATGATTTTTAACTTTCTTTTTAATTGTACTCACAGCATAAAGAGAAGCAGTATCAAAAATAAAAACTTAAGAAATAGGACCAGATACCCGGATGTTGTAAATTAACCTCTCTGGTTATCATGGCCAGTCTCTTCTGAGGTACCAAACCGATCCCAGGTAGTAGGTGATGTCTGACAAACCAGGCAGCCAGCAGTGCACCAGATGGCCCTCAGAAGTGTAATAATTTGTTTCTCAAACCTGGCAGCTACTGTTGTCTGGGAAGCATTGCAGGGGGCCAATACCAACATTACTGATGACAGAGAGGCATGAATTTGCCTAAAATGGAAAGATGTACTTTCATGCCCATGTATCTTCTTGTTCCTTGCCTGTTCTGTCCTTTCTTGACCATCACATAAAACACAAAGAGCCAGAACAAGAGCACAAATCACCTGGATCGATACAGTTTAGCAATATAGACAGAATACTCCAAATAAGCCTCTCAGATTCATTCTGGTTGAACATTATCTGACATTGCACAAACTTCCAGCAAGGAGATCTAGAATTAGCGAGAGAAGCAAAATTACATCTTTCCTTAGCAGAATGTGTTCCTGCTTATCGGAGCGGAGGTCACTGGCAGGGCAGGACAGCTTGCCTTGTGGTTGCCTGCTGCTTACTTGGGAAGGCTTCTCTTTTGACGTGCTTTGAACTCCAAAAACACAATAAAATGGGTATAGGATGAAAACCTCACTCAAAGTCGTTAGTGTTTTTTTATTCTGCTACTTCCATAATTGAAAAATAGGGTAAAAGCAAGACCTTTTTCATGTTTCCAGACCGAAAGTTTTCACATAGCCCGATGGCAGCTGACACTCCCAACAGCTAAATTCCTTTCCCAGATAGGCCAGACAGCTTTAAGTTCAGGGACAACACTCATCGAAATGAGCTCAGAAGTTGGCTATGAAAATACTAGCGGAAAACCAGGCGAAGACTATTAAAAATAACTACCTAAATAAATCCCACTGTTCTGTCTCAGTTTAAGGATCATTGTCATCACGATGAAAAGATCTGCTATGTTGTCCTGTAACACACCCAAACCTCTTTTTGCGGGTCAGGTTAGCTCTTCAGCTAATTGTTATTGCATCCAGAACACATTGCACCCACTACCATAGGTTTTTATAAAGCTTCTCTTTTATAAAGCTGGCTTAATGGCAGTAGTGGTTTCTAGATACAGGTGTAGGAGCTACATCGATTTCTTTTTAAGTGCCATTGTAAATGTACAACGAACTCTGAAATTTTGAAGATGTACATTGAAGATGTACACTGCTCCATTTTGCTCCCATTCATCTGTTCCCTCTTTAGCTTCCTCCACGAAGAGGGGACCAGAGTTGGACCTTCAATAGGTGTATAATAAATCTGTTCTACAGGTCACTCATTCCCAACACTAGGACCTCTAGATAAATGTAAGACATAAAACATTCCCTTTTTCCCCCCTCAGGCTTTTGGAGATCTTTAGTCCTAAGTTTATACTATACTGCACAATGATACTAGTCTAAGGGAACATATTTTTCATTAATAGGATGTTTTGTTATAATTACACAAATATCATAAGCTTTTAATATAAAAGAAATCAGTTTTTTTTTTACTACAAGCATGTTTCAGAGATCACAAGCAGTAGAACTCAATAGTTAACATTATAGATGCCATATTTTAGATGTCTCATTTTTACTGTCCAATCGAAGAGAGTAGATGCCCACGTTGCCTGCTTATGTACACTACTGCTGCCAACATTTCTAAAAGCACCATGCAAAGTAACAGTAAATACTGCAAGAACAACACAGGTTAATTGAAATCAGGAGATCCATGACAATTTCCTAACTCCAAAAATTTGTCAAAAAGTCGTAAACAACCAACCCCACACAAGTCTATGACACTGAGATATTCCCATAGTTACTCAGCAGGTGACATTCAAGTGAAGCCAAGCTTCAACCGGCAAGAGGAGGACATGGAGAACATTCATTGACTTAAGTCAATTAAACTGTCTAGAGCATGGATTTAGAATAGAATGCATCACAGTTTAAAAATACAAACAAATAGTCTATTTCTAATGAGAAATGATAATCATTAGCATTATCATGAATGCATATACTCAAAAGAATCCAAAACAGGCTCCAAATAGACTAAATCAGACTTAAAACTGAATTATTGGCATATGGTCACAGTCTAAGCTCAAGCCTGTGTCAGTGAATGTGGGAAAAAGGACTAGAGAAACAAAAAAAATAGCCCATACATGAAAAAAATTACTGCTGTGGTTTGGAATATACACGGAGCAATTTTCTGCAGCTAAATGAAAAACAATCGCTCTTAAAGAAACAAAGCAGCATAAATAGTGGTGTTCAAGAAGCATAGCACTCTACATTGAAAATATTTCATTTGCCTTTTTGGCGAGTGATGACTAGCTAGGCATAATAGGTTTGGTGTTGTAAAGAGACAAGCTGTTTGGGAATCTGAAAATAACAGCTCTGCTAAGAGGAAACGCTGTAGGCTTTTACACTGCTAAAAGAGCTGGAAAAGACCTCTGGGTCTCTGGAGGAAGGAAAAATTACACAAAGCTTAAACGAAGGAAACTCACATTCATGGCTTATGGAATAGCTTTCATTATTAGTCTCTGGGGAAGATAGATAATTTCTGCTAAAGTTATTCAACTTGTTTTTTTTCTCTGCTCCCACAGAGGACTTACATCTTTACTTTCCTGTTGAGCTCACGAGTCTTCATTCACCCCCACGAGCTCCTGGCTAAAGTGGGGCAGATCTGCATTAAACGGAAGCAGCAGCTGGAAATGGGCACTGAGACAGAAAAGGCAAGTGAACCTCTGTTTCCTCAGTTAGCTCTGCCATTCTCAAGTACTTCCCAAGCCCTCATTTTCACTCTGTAGCTATATAGATGGATACAGAATAAGCTGAAGTGGTAATCAGCGTTTGTTACTGAATATACTTTTGAGTCTTTGGTCTTTAAGCACTTTCTTTCCTTGCTAGCTACAAATACAGATGTGGTGGCTCAAGAGTCAGGTACAGCAGTGGGAGACAGGACTTGGCTCTGCACGCTGCAGGTTGGCCAAGTGGCTTCACCCTCCTGGCCTTTCATGTGGTCCCCCCCGAACCTCATTCCTCTTCCTCCACTGACCCTCCTCGTGGCTATTAACGCTGAGAATTTGGCTGTAGACACCCTGGACACTGTTGTTGGTGTTTCCAAGGGGTTTAATAGTAAATCAGTAGCATTGCTTCTGAGCAAAAGCTGGGGGATGCCTAAAATGGAAGCCCGTGCTTACATGTACAAATATGCAGTGTTACTGGTTACTGCACTACTAAATCAGACTGGCTTAGTTTGTGATCTGTACTTGAATCCATTTAAGTCCCATTATGGGCTTACTGTTTCCCAATTATGGAAAAACGGTACTGAAGGAATGATACTTCCATTTCAGTCAAGTTTGGATGCATATAAAGGTGACAGAAACAAGAACTCCTTTAAGCGAATAAAGATCTAAATTGTCTTTCAAATCCTGGGCCCGCTTTGGTTTCATCTTTTATTGTGGGAAACTACAGCCCACATTCCTGATGTGCAGCATGTTGATAGTCCCGTTTCCTTTCCTCCTGGTTGTACCGGTAGGAGTTGACAGCTCAGAACGTAACCCTGTGGTTGGGCAAGCTCAAATTGTCAGCAGCAATACTGACCTAAGCCTTCCCTCTCCTTTACTGCTCCCAGTGCTGGGAAACTCCAAGGATAGGAGGAAAGGGAAAAATCTTCTCCATGCACATGGAGGTTATAGTAGTTCCCGCTACCCCCAGCTGGTGTTTCAGATTGCGCTGGTTGCACAGCTCCTACCCACCTAGCAGCAGAGGCAGGAATTAGTCAGAGGTGATGGAGCAGATAGTCCCAGCTACCTGCAACATCAAACGAGCAAAACTCTCCATACGCACGGGACGAGGAAGACTGACTGCTAGTTAGTGTCAAAATCCATATGTAAAATGCTTGGATTTAAAAATAACTTGATATAAGATTAAATCTTCTGTGTGAATACCAGTAAATTTCTAAGTTTTTAAGAAACAAAACAGTGGCTGGAAAGCAAATTTGCAGGCTGCTTAGAGATGAGGTGTTGGTGGTAAAGCACTGGGATTGGCTTTGTAGCAGACATTAAAAGTACGGCAGACATTAAAATGCTCTGAGATGACAGAGTATTACATCCTAACAACAGGATGTAAAATAGAGCAGCTCATATCCCAGACACCCACACTTGCACCTTGTGCTGGTAGTTGGGAAATGGGCCTCCAGAAAAAACCAACAAACAACAGGGTGACAGTAAAACTTGGCTGTTTAGGAGGCGGCTTTAGCCCACATGCTTTGCTAGCTGCTCTTCTTACTATACCCTTGATCCCTTTTCTATTTCCTAGTATAAACTACACTTTTTCCTGCCCATTAAACACAAAATTCTTGGAATAACACACAAACTTCTGGTATCCCTCCCAAATGACTGCTTAGCAGACTTCTATGCAATTAGCTTTGTATTGCAGATTAATTTGGCCACTGGCATTTTTTTTTGCTACTGATAACAAACAAAAGTTCATCTCATGTGCATCACGGATATTATTGATCCAAGGTGCTCCACATATGCACAGTCATAACCCATTAAGGTATCATCAACTCCCTGCATCCTCTAATTAAGCGCCTCTGTAGCAGGAAGTACCTGGCAAAAAGAGTTAAGACCGAGGCGACCGTTCCTGATAGCAGCTTTACATAAATGCAATCTAAAGCGAGAAGCTGGCCGGCTTGTTGCCCAAGTAGCGTGTGAGCTGCAGCAGTGGCAGGGAGCCAGGGTGTGAGGTTACGCACCACAATATTTATCATTCTTTTGTTTTTGACGTCACGAGCAGGCCTGTAGAAAACAGCCCAGAGAAAAGCGGATAAAAAAGGAAAGCTCTCTGGGTTGTCTGGGAGCCCAGAGTTCTTTTGGCCAGTCATGAAAAGAGAGAGTTTTACAGCTTAAGGCATCCATTATAATATACAAGTCGGTAGTTAAGCTTGACCATAAAGAAGAAAATTTAACTCTCCAGAAGTACATCTCATCCAGAAGTGCAGTGGAGGATGCCAAAGGAGGCTGAGAAAAAAGCTCTCATATAGTATTGTTCAGTGATAAAGTAGTTGTTAAAACCAGCAGCGTACTATTTTCAAGGCTTGAAGACATGTTTTCAATCAAAGGTTTTAAAAAACAGAATAAGAGAGAAGGAAAAAGCAAGAGCAAAAGAGAAAAAACGTTAGCTTCTTTTAAGCTCATCTCTCCTCTTCTAGAATCCTTCAAGTTCCTAAAGAAGACCTGGATCCACTGTGATTCAGTATGAACTCAGAGAGGGTCTCTTCAAAAGCCTCTAATTTCCTTCATTTTCTATCGCCAGTTAGTTCTTTTTTAAACCAGAAATGAAAACAGTACAGCTAAGTGCCTAAGCCTCTCTCCTGCAAGTTCTGCACCTCCGCTTCACCTTTCTATCGGCAGCTGTTTCAGTCCTGTCCATCTGTTATCTCACGTGTAACAGGTCTCAAGTACTTCAGGTTAATGGAAGCATTTTTCTTGTCAAACAAATACTTATGGGAGAAATATTCCCACTGACTCCAGGGAACTCTATATCGGGTTTCACTGGGGAAGATGCTGAAATCTGGAGCAGGGCTATGGAAAGAGTCAGTTAGCACGTTTCTTCCAAGCATGACATAAATGAACGTGCGTGTTGCTGCCCCTATGCACGTGAGATTTTATCTGGGCTATATCGAGTCACGTGCATCAAGGCAGTCAGCTGCCCCGTTTCATCAGAACCCAAGTGAACAGGAATCTCTCGTTTGGCAGTGCTGGTGGTTTTCAGTATTGCCGTTGGAAAGAAAATCTCACTTTCATAAGTATTGAAAGAACCGATGAAATACTTGTGTTTGTATCCCTGTGTTCCTGGAAAGTAATATGTGTTTCAAAATACGCCTAGCTTTCTATCATCAAGGAGGCAAACCCTAGTGACTGATTTTTACAAAAGCATAAGAAAAACCAGTGTTCTTTGGGGCTAATTGCTGCAGCCAAAGGGATCCATTGGCTCCTTCCCCCCCCCCTTCCCACTTGTACAGTTTCAGAAGTTAAAAAGAACAGTCAGGTTAATACAAAGACAGTTACAAACAGGGAGCAGGAATATGGAACATGACATCTATAACCTGAAGCTCCGTCCTACTCTTAGACCACAAAATTGGGTTTCATAGGAGCTACATTAGCAGAGGTTTCACTGTTGGAGTTTGCATCTATATATTTTGCGAGAATTCCCACTGATGACAAAGAGAACATTTGCATTTTGCCATTGCTATCCAGCCATTCAGTGCTTCTCTCACTCGCAGGACCAATTAAATACTAATCAATAAAAACAGCTAAGAGAAATCTATCATCAGGGAGCAAAAACACCAAAACCGTCAGACATCCCCAAACAGCACAGGTTCATTTTCAGGCTGAAAATTTAAATGCACCTGGTTTAACTTTAAAATTCTTATAATTCCTATCAGTGCTCCCCCTGAGAATGAAAACCAGTGCTAGAGAGTGCCAGCAAGCTATAGAAAATGTACACAAAAAATAGACTAGTGAATTAATCAAAACCAACAGTCCACCCAAACAGGGAGGTACTGTGATCAGAAAATACTTTGTGGCAGGGACTCCTACCAATGCTTGTAAGACATTTTCTGCATGTTTTAAAAGAAAAACCCACATTCATTTCCTGTATGATGCTCACACGCTAAGTCACTTTGTGTATCCCCTAAGCGACTGCTGGGGAGCACAAGGAGGAAAGTACATTGCTCACAGTGAGCGGGAGCTGCCAGGTAAGAGAACTGCTCGAGCTGACGCAAGCAGGGGGTAAACACAAGTGAAAATTTCCTCTTTTTCCTAGGGCGTCACAAGTTGGGTGGGGAGACAGACACAATGTGAATTAAATTTTGTTTCTTCCTGTTCCTGTCCCAGCACATGCTCTTCCAATTTTACAAGAGGAGTCCTTTGCATTTACTGATGCAGCTCTAACTATGATACTGGAATAACTGGCATCCAGATGAGGCCTAACTCATGAAAAACCTTCAAAGATTCTCTGCTAACAAAAGAAATAGCACCCTCTTCCCTTTCTCTAATTGATTTTATTTAGTAAGAACCAGTATTCTATTTTCAAAGTCCCATTAAACTTCGGTGTCACAGAGAGAGCAAACCATCTTTCCTGTCAATTACGACAGCTCTATCTGGAGAGTCTGATAAGTTCTATAAAACAAGAATATCATTTTGAACATTTCTTGTGAAAAATCTTGTGGTTCTGCACTGCAATTTCTATGCATTTGAATTAAAACACTAAGGTGTTGCTGGCTCAGATACCATAAATCCACTTAAAACCTATTGACTGCAACTAGACATTTGCACCATCCTGGCACCTTCTCAGCTCTATACAGCTAACCTTGAAAAGTTATTCAAAGAATTTGGTTAGAGACCTTGCCAGGCTGTAATCAAAGTTTGACTAAATCTTAGTAGGTAGGAATTTGGCTCACAGTTTAATATGTTTTTTCTCCTCTTCATCTACTACTAATACAAAGATTGTTTTCAAGGTTTTTTGTAGTTTTATGCAAAGCTTCCTCAGGTATTCATTCCCTCTGGGATAAGAAAAGTCTCTGATCAGTAATTAACTCATGACTTCTTTCTAGGCAAAGCTAAAATCCTTTGCTGCCAAGATCATTCAGCTCCTAAAGGAATGGACTGAAACTTTCCCCTATGATTTCCAAGATGAAAAATCTATGAAGGAGTTGAAGGAGATTGCTCACAGGATCACACAATGTGATGAGGTGAGAGAGAAATCGTAAATGGGAAAGTGGTATTTGTATCAGTCTTTACATATACTTTATAATATACAAAGATTTCCTCACTTGCTCCAGAAATATTTTCTATATTTCACCTCTTCCTCGTATGCTTTGTGAGAAATATCGATGATGATATAAAGAATGGATGTGGTGCAGAAGGAGAAAGGAAAGAAGAACTGTAAGGAAAGAGTTTGTGGTTAACTTCCATGATAAATTATCTACCCATCTTTCATACACTATTACTACTGTGTTTGTGCGAGTGCCTTTGGACATATTGACTAGCTGCATGTGCTGAGGCTCAACATGAAGACACTGATGAGTTGGGAGCTTGGTCCCAGCTCCTGACAGCAATCACAACTTTTTCATCTTTTTATTACCACAAATCAGCCGTCATGGGGAGTGTTGTGCCAAAGAAAGCTCCTTGAGCCCTATTAGTGAGTCAGTCACCAGGCTCAACACCTATGAGGTTTCAGGTTTATGAGAAAACTAGAACTCACAGGAAACTTCCCCCTGCTCCAAAGCAAATGGATAAAGCAATTCGAGCAAAACAAGCGTTCTGAGTGGTTTGGCTTTGGTTTAAGAATTTTTAAAGCCTAAACTTTTCTTATCAAGGAATTCATTAGAAGTACCAATGGACAAAAGATGTTATATCTTCAAGAACTGCAAGGGCACTTGCTCTAAGGGAAGTATTTGTGTGAAGGCCAACTAAGGTAGCGGCTTGCCAGTGCCTGGGATCCCCCAAACGCTGGGATGTTTAAGAACAGTTGGCGGGAGATTGGGAGACACTCCTGCCACGTGTGGTTTTGCTGATTCAAGTACAGAGAAATGAGAAGTAACAGGTTTGACAACACTGTGTGAATCAGCGATAGGATTAGGTGTTACCAAGCTGTCAGCAGGAAGTTTATGTTGGTTTCGTTGCATCAGCAGTGCAGTTCACCTGGAAGCTACTACACGTGTCAGTGCCTTGGTGGCTGGGGAAAGGAGAGAGTAAACCCTCCGTTCCCCCAGAGGCCTGGGTGGCACAGAGCCTCCTGTGAAAGGTGACTTTGCAAATCAGCTGGGGTTTCATTTAGCACAGTTAATTTGTATTTATGATTATTTAATTTCAAAATAATAAAGAGACCCTGTGGCTTTTCTTCCTCTTCCCTCACACTATTATGCGCAAATAGATTGTCATTTGGAGAAGAATGTCTTTATAGAGTGGCTCAGTGCTCAGGTATCTGAGGTTTCTAATGACATTCATTAATTGCAGTGTCATAGTATTTATCTACTTAACAAGGCTACAAGTCAGGTTTGATCAGTGAAGAGCTAGGCCACATCTGACCCCTAGGAAATGTAATTTGACAGTGACAAAAGAAGGTTTTGCTCTCAGTATTTGTTCCCTCCTCCCTTCTGTTCTTATGAGTTTTGTGCTCCAGCAAGAGCTTATAGGATGTTGTTTTGTATTTTAAACCTTTTCCAGATCCTCTTAAAACACTTTTTCATATATAGGAGATAAACAACTCATACAGAGCAGTCACAAATCTTTTCTTGGTCATGACACAGCGGTAACAAATAGTTGCAGTTCCTGAATAATTAAAGATTTCATCATAGAACACAACACAGGTGGTAAAGCCATAGGTGGACTCCCAGTGATCTTTGCATTCAATTTATATCCGACTGCTAGACTAGCAAAACACATTAAGGATCACACCCACATCCCTTTGAGAGAGCAGCCTCAGTGCTGGTGACAGACATGCAGCCAGGTTTGAGCCCTAGACAGAGCGAGGATGTCTTGTTTCAAGTCAAACAAGGACAAATTCTTGCATGCCCATACCCACTGAAAGCCAAACTCAATAGAACCATATGTGCTTGGCTGGAAGTTTTGTCTCTATTTTCAAAGTTGAAAGAGAATTTAAGGTAAGATTACCAGTGAAAGGAAACAGTGAAAACTCTAAGACCATTTCTGCCTGTGTTAGGATGCTACTAAATTCACAATAGTTTAGATAGCTTTTATGTCACTACATTTTCTTTTTCACTACGAGCATCTATGATACCCTTAGCTACCTTCATATATGATTCCTTATGACCGATATCCAGAAAGTTTGCCTTCTCACAGACACATAAAGTCAAGGCTTCACAATATCCAAGATTAGGATTGTTCTGTTTCTGCCCCTCCCTCCCCACTCCAAACACAGACACGCACTCTCTCCCCGTTGGCCTTTCTGAACACTTGTGTCACAATATCTGAAATGGCTCCAATCAGCTGCTGTTCAGCAATAATCCAGTTGTCTCATCAAGATGAGCTACATCGCTTTCAGCTTTTCATTTGATTCCACTTGGGAGCCAGATTATTGCCTTGTAAAGCAACATTCTGACACCATTATTGCTTAATTATCCCATGCAGTATACAAGTGTTTGGTAGTCATGATCTCTCACATCTGCTACATAATTTCAATCATCATTGCACATTAGTGGCTTCTTTGAATGATCACAGATTCATTGCAAATCTTTCTAGTGCATCCAGTTGACTGGATGAAGCCGGCACATGAGAGCGTAAGCTAACCGTTAACACTGTGGCTAACTCCAAGAAATAATTTGGTTGAAACCAAGAGACTAGTATCATAGGAATGAGCAGAATGACCATCTTTGCTAGAAATAGCTACCTGAGCAGCAGGAAGAAAAGGATCGGAGCTGCTGGGTCACTCGAAGTAGTTACAATAGCAACATAGCTATAAAAAGATGAGGAAGTGTCTTTAGGACACAGGCCATGTCAGAACAAATTGATTTGCCTTATTTGTTAAAAACAGCATGCTGATTATATTTGATACTTTCCCAGTATGTTTCCTTGTATATCCTACATTTAAAATCTGCACCTGACAAGCACACGATAGTTACTGGGTTCCTTTGTAAATCTTGAAGGTGCAGCTATCATTGCTATTTGAACCTCATTGCCAAGCCAGGGTATTTTAAGGGTATATTCCTAGGTTATTCCTAGATGCAATGTGAATTCCCTAGATTCTGTGCAAGATAAGCTTGACTTGATGAGACAAAGCCTTTTCTCACTGTCTGTGCAGAATATCCAAGAAGCCTTGGGGCAAGCAGCTCAGCAACCACCTTTCACTACACCCACTATGCCCTAATTGCTGGGCAATTAGGATATAAGTTCATCTGTAAGTTCATCTGACACAGAATAATCAGATATAAGATGAAAGATAATGAATAGAAAGCTTTTATCTTAGTTAGTAATTTTTAGGTGGTCTGCATGCGACAGAGCTAGAGCTTTTTGGTAGCTAACGATTCTCTCTCCTGCTTAGGAGAATGGGACAGTCAAGAAGATCATTAGCCAGATGACACAGAATCTCCTGATGGCCCTCTCTGCACGGAGCCAGTACCAAGAAATCAGAGAGAAGTTCCGGCAACCTGTTGCCGACAAAGGAACCATCCTCAAAAACAAGCCACAATCGTCTCAAAAGGACATCCTGAGCGTGTGCTGTGACCCACTGGTCCTGGCTCAGCAGCTGACCCATATTGAACTGGTAAGATATTAACTGGCTTGAACTATTTCACTAAATATTCGTATTTCTATCACCATGAACTTTGCTGTAGGCTTTGTGGAAAGCCTTCTATGTTTTAATCAAACCATGCCAAGTGGTGAACAAGAACAGCAGGGACTTGCACACCTATGCTGTAAAACTTAAGTCTGTAAAGAAAGCTAAAGAAAGATGAAAGTTACCAACATGATCCCCTCATTTCAGATTTATTGATGTATTTTTCACTGAGCTCCCCATCTATCCATCCAATAACAATATTTCTCATCTCCTGAACATAGGAAAGAGTGAGCAACATTTACCCAGAGGACATCATGCAGATTGTCAGCCACATGGACTCCCTGGATAATCACAAGGTACAACAAGGGGTATGGCGGTAAACAAAAGAATAACCAGAATAAAGAATGGCTCATGGTTGGACAGGTTGGAAAAGTTGCCATTTTCTAACCTTCCTTGAGCTCATGCCTTAAGAGATACCCAATAAGATCGTAGCAAGACACGAAAGAGAAGGTCATTTTTTGGTAGGCCAACTGTATCATGACACAGGACACGAAAAACACGTGGCCTTTTCTCTTACAGTGCCGAGGAGACGTTACCAAAACGTACACTCTGGAGGCCTATGACAACTGGTTCAATTGCCTCAGTATGCTGGTGGCCACAGAAATTTGTAGGGTAAGTACTAGCACAATACAAAATGGCAAAATAATCTTGTCCTAATAACAAAAAGCAGGCTGCGCTCTAGTAGAGATTTAAATATTAGCAGTCAAATTAAAAGATAATTGCGTTACAGATAATGGCATTACTCATGCTTTACATTATTTGCATGCTTGTGTGTTTGGGGCTATGTTTAGCTTTATGTGCATTCTCTAGTTTTGTGTAGCTTCCATACCAATATCAGTCATGCAGTGAAATGGAACTTGAATGAAATTTGAGTCGCAAAGCTCATTTGGACTTTTTAATATAGTCATTAATTCTCAAACTATTCATCTTTAAACATAAGTTTGCTTGGTAAACTGCAGTCCTTCCACTGCATGCAGTTATTATTAGTGCTGCCATATATTTTTGTTGTGGAAAAACACAGAGCTAAATCTCCAGAAATGTGGAAGAAAAGTAGACTATTAGTGAGAGTGAAAAAATAGAGGGGGATAACCTCCCCCCCCACACACTAGAGGTTAAATGTAGTTTTCACCATCTGTAAAGAGCAAAGAAACCGAAATATATAGCTCCAGAAGCCCTCTTCAGCTTGTATATTCTCTTTCTTTGAGCTTCCTATTAACACACACCAAATTTTGCCATGCACAAACTTGTCTGCATTCTTACAAGGTCAGTAGCCCCTCTCTGGAAACCGTCTTTCAGATGCTCACTGTGGTTTCATGAAATCTCCTGTTTTAACCCTACATTTTTTGCATACTTTCTTCCTCCCGATAGCAGATTCATATTTTACTCCCATTTCCAGTAAGAGGAAATTGCTGAAAGTGTCCCGCTTGTTTACATAAGATTCCCCAAGATGCTGAGCTTCATGTTTAAACAAGTCTAAACAAAAAGTTACGCTCTCCCATTGCATACATGGCTCTTGGCAAGTGTGTGGCGTATAAGAGTGGAACATAGTGCATACAATACAGCTGGACAAGTATTAGTAGTAGCCCAAAACACTACTGCTATTTTATTAAAAAAGCAAGCTTGACAAAACACTCCCTGGCCTATATCACTTACGATCTCTTATGTGGATAAAGTCTCAAAATATTTAGTCAGTCAACCAACTATAAATGCCTTTGGACCTGCTGCCCAACCAAATTTCAGGCCATTCCTTCCCTCTTAACAGACGGTCTCTGTTTCAGGTGGTGAAGAAAAAGCAGCGTACAAGAATGGTGGAGTTTTTCATTGATGTGGCAAGAGAATGCTTCAACATTGGGAACTTCAACTCCATGATGGCCATTATCTGTGAGTAGCCTTGGCACAGGTGCTGTCATCTACATCATCTACATCAAAGTCTGAGCAAAGCCACGCTCGGACTTGCCGCCAATCGGCTGACCCCATCAGTAGGTGCCCCCACAGGGGCACCGGTGCCAGGCTAATGCCGTGGGCAGTAGCTACAGGCTTTGTTTGTCAAGCTGAACTGCCTGCCAAAGCACAAGTGCACAGCGCTGACAAACACATACAAGGTAGACTTATTTGCCCTATATTTTAGCTTAATTGTTTTTATCTTTGTGTCTATTCAGCTGGCATGAATTTGAGTCCTGTGGCACGGCTAAAGAAGACATGGTCCAAGGTCAAAACAGCCAAATTCGATGTTTTAGAGGTACATATAAAATTTAGACTTTGTTTAAAATAAATCCATCAGGTAGGAATCCCACAAGGAAAGGTTTGGATGCAGTATAAGTTAAAGGTCACAGGTGCTTCCTTCAATGGTCACCAATATATCAACACAAGAGGAACATTTCCAGAATTTCAAACTCCCCATTTAGATGCAAGGAAAAGCAGATGCCAATTTTCTTTAGATTAATTAGATTAATCCTTCTCAGCATTTATTTCAATTTAAAATAAAGGTAGTTCCCAACAATTTATTTTCACTCTTCACACAAATGAAGGCATTTTGCTACCCTTGATTCTAATTAAAGCACTCCCTCTAGTGGAGATCTGGATCAAAAAGTTAATTGAAATCAGCATCAAGTCTAGTGAGCCCAAGTTCAAATTGTAATTGTTTTCTCCCCTGGCAGTTCATTTATTATTTCATTTCAAGTTTGCAGTAACTATTGAAAGACAAAATGCAGTTGGGAAGTCCATGCAGTATCCACCTTTCAAGAATAGAAATTAGCTAAAAGTTTGAGTCCAAACCTCATCAGTGTTAGGTATTCTACATTTTGAGTTTAAAATGGAGGTGAAAAAAGTCAAAGAAGAACCTCTCTCTTGATTAGATTAACTTTTTTTCTGTTTATGTAACGTAACTTGTCTTTTGTTCTCATCCAAACAGCATCACATGGATCCATCCAGCAACTTTTGTAATTACCGCACAGCCCTGCAAGGAGCAGCACAGCGATCTCAGACTGCCAACAGCAACCGAGAGAAAATTGTTATCCCAGTTTTCAACCTGTTCATTAAAGATATCTACTTTCTGCACAAAATACACACAAACCGCTTGCCCAACGGGCAAATCAACTTCAAGGTAGGAATCGCTATTATAGAAACTATAACACTAATCAAATGCTTGCCTGGCAATTTTGAATCTCGTTATCTCACAGGCATCTTTACATGTTTCAGCATTGCTCTAATGTAGACAGGTACTTTTTATCTAGAGGAAAGGATTTTATGGTCTTGATACCCAATCTCTCTAAAGCGAGCACTGCAGTTATAGTATCTATATTATATTGCATTTCCCACAGACCACCACTGCATACACAGAAGGGAATACATAAAACTGCTGGAATGTAATTGCCTTCTGTTAAAACTAAGAAAAATTGATACTTCAGCATATTTAAAAAAACAGCCTTTATTTGAAGCAGGGACAAAACGCACTGCAAGCCATTAAATATACCTAAGTTGTTTTAATAATATTGATAACCAACAGCAATACATTGATACAGAAAGAGTTAACTGGAAAGGAAAATCTCTTCAAGGAAGGTTGTGTTCAAGCAACATTTAACGTAAAGGAAAGAACATGAAATCAAGGAATGCAACAAATTCAGCATATCAAGGCAAAGAGTTCATACCTTCTCACCTCAGTCCTGCCTTATGTTCACAAAAGAATGGGAGAAACAGGCAGGAAGACAAAGTTTAGAAAATAAGTCTTTTGGTGGCACAAGCCCTTATCTCTGCAAACTCTGACAGTCACTTCACTCTAAGTCTTCAGAGTTGCTCCTATTAGGTTAGCTAGCTACAAACACCACACTTAACCAGCAAATGACACTTAACAGGTCTTCAAATGAGTTTGTCTTTAAAGAAATTCACTATTTACTCTTCTAGTAGATGAAAAGGAGCGAGTGCAGCTGGCTTTTTCCATAGGCAGATGTGCATTTATGTTAAAGAACAATTTAGAATTCTAGGCTAATTTCAAGGTGGAGGTACAGGTTACTATGGAGGAAAGAGTTGCAGAATTGATTAAGAGTCTCCCAAGTCTCCAACCACACAAGGTAACACCACTAAGTGGGCATTGTCTCAGCAGCCAGTGGAGACATTCGGCTATCTGGAGATTTAAGGTGGGAGCAGGGAAGGGATAACAACTATGGTACTGTGGTCACTAGAATCAACTATCAGATACAAAGCAGGGGTTGTTTGGAAGCTACATAAAAGGTCACAGCCCCAGGGAATTCATTCTTTACAATGACTTGCTAAATACATGGAAAAAAATTGTGATGGTCGAAAGCACAGTTCTAATTAGAAGCTTAATATAATATCAGAGGTTACTGCAGCCTACTAGAGCAGATAGGGTAAAACGAAGACTTGAAAGCTTCTTGATCATGAAAAACTGCTTATGAGCAATTACCCATTATAGAGAAATCACATATTATATAATTTATGTATTTTCATAATTCTCACTACTAAAAAGTGCCTCCCTGGTATAAACAGTTCTCACTATTTATACTATTAAACAAACCACATATTTTCTAAAGCAAGAGGATCTTCCTGACTTATAAAGGAGAAGATGATTCTCAAGTCATACTGTTATTTGGAGAATAAACAGTAAGAAGAGTACTATCCAGCTGCCATTCTTTTGCTAGTAACCTACTTGTATTTGGTGTTGCACATGTAACAAGAAAATGCAGGATTTCTTTTCAGTACTAGCCTGGAAACAACCCAGCTTTTTCCTCAAGAGGACAAAATGGACTTTCATTAAAAATAGCACTTGACTCCTGAATGCCTGCTTGTTAGGCTAGTTTGAAAAGGGTAAACTTCTTCAATAACACTTATGTAGCCAGATTTCTACCAATTTGGGTCTCCTTCTCCCTGATTAATAAGCATGCGTTTTCAAAGGACCACTGCCTGTTACTATCCTGCCAGAATTTTGCTACTAAGATAAGGGGCAAAATGCACACAAGAAACCCTAAGTAGTTATGTGCTTCCTATAAAATCTTGAAACAGCCTCTATGCATCATTTTGATTATTTCTTAAATATTAAGAATGCCTTATGAGCAAGTCAGGAGTTCATTTAAGTTCAAGATTGGAAATGTAAAATAAAATGAATGAAAAATATTTTCTGCCTAGTTCACTTGCAGGTTAATGTAGAGATAAGATACTGAATCAATCAATGACACATATAAAGAATACCTCTTTTTAGTATATTGTAAATTAGAAAAAATATTGAGAACTGGAAGAGAACTGAACACAAAAGCCTAATGAGTAGACTCTTGTAAATTTGAGATACAAACAGAAAATGAGGAACTAGAAACAAGATAGAGCTGAAGGAAGAAGGATAACAAGGAAGAAGATTCAGTAAAGGATATTAAGAGGAAAGGCACAAATGAGAGCAAGAGAGGGGGACCCTGAAAGTGAATCCAAAGAACTAGTACTTTAAAAAGAATATAACTGCGATCGTAACAGTGTTCTTTTAATTACCTCATGCAGAAATTCTGGGAAATTTCAAGACAGATTCATGATTTCATGACATGGAAACAGGTCGAGTGTCCTTTTGAGAAGGACAAGAAGATCCACACTTATCTCCTTACAGCACCCATTTACAGTGAAGAAGGTAAAGTCCCCTACTGAATATTATAATGAACTTCCAAACTTGTAATGCAGACATAGAGCTTGGAGATGAAAGAATTAACATGCAATAAGTATTTGAAAAGTGCATATTACTACTTCTCATATTGGCTTCAAATCAGGGTAAACTTCCTTATTCACATCTGTTAAACTGTACCTGCTATATCATTATTTTAAATTAAATAACACTTCATTTTATTGCCTAGCTTTGTTCATTGCATCCTTTGAAAGTGAAGGTCCAGAAAATCATATGGAAAAAGACAGCTGGAAAACACTCAGGTATGAAATCTATTCAGAACTACAAGTCTTTTCACAGATACATACACACATCTTTACAATCCCTTTGCTTTATGCTGTTATATTTGATCTCTGGAAGCAGATCCCATTGTGGAAAACCCATTCAACTTGTAAGGCGTTCAGTTAGTGCCCTCGTATTTGCACGCCCACCTTGAGCACTATTTTGGCCCAGACATAATACTGGTTTTCCTCTTTCCTTCCAAACCTCTTTAAAGTTTGCTTCTAAGGGAGAAACGACTCCTCCTTGCCTCTCTAGAGGGGAAGCAGCTCTTCTGTGTGCACAATGAAATCCATTAATTAAAAACAGGGCTCTCCTAATGCTCTGACCAGCATAGAGAAACCTAGACCTTCGTAAACCACATTAAATGTTTAGATTTGACATGTCAGCACCAGATAAAGAAAGACTGAAGAACCTGGTATGTCCACTGGTACAGCTGAGCTGCATTATGATTATATTATACTAGAGGAGACGATGACCCCAGGGTTTCTTAGTAAGTTTAAGCTTTAAAGTTATGATACCTATGAAAAACAATGTACTTTATATTAAATACTATGCCAAGTTCCTTAAGCAACAATAAGGATGACAAAGTACATTATTTACCAGAGCACATCCTGTGAGACCTGAAGAGATGTTAGGGAGGTTACATTTTTATTTCATATCAAATCAGTATCTTTACTGGAACGCATAGGTGTAAAACATCCCTTGAAGAAAGATTTCCAGCAACTGCTACAATTTGTGTTCAGTTGGCAAAATGCTTTTTGGTTTGAGTAATGATTGACATTATATAAATTTCAAAACTACCTTTTTTTTCCCCCCCCCAGGACAACTCTGCTTAATAGAGCCTGAGATTTTGAGATATGATTTACAGACTTTGAAGCACACAGAAAGAACAAGATTTTCTTGAATGAAAGACTTGGGTTGAGCTAAGAAAGACCTCACTGGCTGAGGTCTGTTTTGTATATATAGTACCTTTTATGAATAAAAAGTGGTAAATATTTCACATATCAACCTTAAGGCACTTAAGTGAAGGGTTTTGGGTTTTTATTTTAATACAAGGGCAGGGCCCTGTTCTCAGAGATGAAGTGTATCATGGGAGGTGGTACCCCTGGGGAGGCTTTATTCTGTCAGCATCCACATTTTTATGTTTTATTACTTCCAAAAATAACGTTAAAACACGCATCCCAGCTACAGCTAGCATTCAGGATAAACACTCCATTGGACCAGTAACCTACAGGACACTCAAAACATTTCCTTGGCTTTGAAGGGAAGAACCTCAATTCAAGACAGAGAGGCCGTTCGTACGTGTGACTAAGTGCTTGTCAAGTCAAGGCCTTGGACATCTGCAGTTAGCGTGTCCCTCTCCTACACCAGGAAATAGTGCCTTACAAGGTACTGAAATCGTTTAGTGTACCTTCTATTACGCTGGACTGGAAGCAAGGAAAATAAAAATATGGATGTCGCAAAACCAGCTACCATGTACTTTTTACCTAAAACGGAGGATACGGCACACGGAGTAGAGTATCCCTGCCTATAACGTTGATGGTGCAGCCAACATATTTTTGTTACGTGAGTTCAAGAGGGAAGATGGGGTCAGTGCTGGGGGGTGAGCGTCTGTGTGTGTGTGTCTGTGCGGGCATGCGGGCCTGCCTTTCAGTGCTCCTCGGGCTAGCCTTTACGTTCCCGCTGTCAGAATACTTTGTGTTTTCCTTTTCTAAAATCAGGGATTTTTTTTTTCCTTTTTAATTGAGAAGGATGTCTAACCTAGATTATCTCTGCAAAACAGATTTGCTGAGTTTTAGTCTCCAAGAAGTTGTTTGCAAAAGATCATGCATGAGTTATGGAAAGGGAACTAAACTCAGATGTCAAATTTGAAGCTAAGGCTAAGATTTCCAAAGAAGCTTAAGACGAGTTGAATACTCCATCTCCACTGAATTGGGCCTTGTGTTCCCTAAGATTCCTTTGAAAATGCTAGTCAACAATTAAAGAACAACTTACATGAAAAGCTTTCTCTAAAAGCCCTGATTAAAAGTGTGATCCAATACACCGTAAAGTATGGCTAATACACATATAATGTGTGTACACCAAAGGAATTGGATCAGGCCTTCAAACCCAAGAACAGCATCAGAATTGGAGGCAATCTCTGCAACACTGGTGGCTAATTTCTCCTTTTAATCTTGAGGTTAAGGCTAATTTGGCTATCAAAACAAGCGTAGCTGAGAATCTGATACTAATTTTCATGAAAAATTGCATATTTCAGAATTTACTTTCTCCCTCAATCTCCGAGTTAGGAAAAAAAACAGGCTCAGATTAAAAGCTCTTTTGTTTTATGAACTACTGCTCTAAATGCCAACTGTCCTTTCCAACAACTGTCCCTATGGCTCCGGGGCTGGATATTTATAAAGACAGTGAGTTGATGCAGACATATCTAGCAGAGACTATGTTCTTTTCCAAAGCCCTGGCCTCAAGCAGAGCCTCACAAAGGACCTCTTTGAAAGCTGCCAGTGGTTGCAGCCCTCTAATACATCTCACTCTGCCTCTGCTGAAGGCAGGGGGCACAACCAGCTGGACCAAGGGGCTGCCTCCTCCGTTCCTGCCCGCCGGGCTCCTCCTGCCGAGCGCCTCCAACCCCGAGCAGCCCCGTGGGCTTCACGCAGCCCTTGCGCTCGCCGGGCAGCGAGCGTGGCTGCCTCGGCCCTGTAGCGGTAGCAAAAGAAAAGGGCCTGCCCTCTCGGCCTGCATTTTTCCCCCCTTTATCAAACGCTTAAAATAAGAGCAGCAAATTGGCACAAGGAAGAGAGGAAATAAAGAAATAAATAAAATCAACATTTTGCTATTCCCATAGGAAGGAAATCAAGGAGAAATAAACATACTAGAGAAATGCAATGACAAAGGAGAAGGAATACTAACTGTTAGCAAGAACAGCCCAGAAAAGGAGAGGGGATATTTCTTGTGATCTGCTGCTATTTCTCCTGTGCTGAAGCACTGACCTTCAGCCCTGGATTAGAGTAAGAATATTTATACTGTATTATTACAGTGTTTTGCACTTTCAGAGATGTTCTAGCTAGTAACATTGTCAGACACTATAAAAGGGATTGTATATCAGCTTTGTTTATGTAACTGAAATTTAAAAGGGATGATTAAAAATTAAGAAAAAATATATATTTGAAATGCAATTTTAGAACACTTTCTGTAAATGTATGGAAAAAAAAAGCTTTCACATGAATGTGCACTTCACTGGTCAATCAGTCCTAGTATATACTTGAAATCAATGCAGTACTTACATTGGTTCTTTTTTATTTTTCTTCCCTCAGTTTGATACATTCCTTAAATCTGTGTTTTGCTATACGGCGCTGAAATGCTACATATAAAGCTGTACCATAAAGCAGGATATTCTGTGTTTGAATGGATGTGCTTGCATTAATAAAAAAAAAATTGCTTCAACCAGACTAACCTTTCCATAGTTATTTTTCACTTGCAAAGTGAACAAGCCACAGACAAGTGGCCAGGAGAGGGGAATGAGCCAACTGCAGCAGATACAGTCGTAATGAACAAAGTGGTTACCTAGATTGAAACCCTCACTTAGTAAGAGGCATCACGAAGTATTTTCTATATTTATCTCGTTAACAAGGAAGCTCAGAACGGTCTCGCACAGCTCGATGCTGGGGGCATTTCCAGCCCGGGACGGAGGCGGCTTTTGCAGCCCTTGCCCTTTTTCACCGCCCTGATGCACAGAGGCAAAGCTGGCTTTGGATGCGGATCCGGCTTTCCTGACACCTGGTGCCACCCCTGTCCCCTTGGCCTGTCCCTTCCCAGCGTCACAGGCCATGAGAGAGGCTGGACCTCGAGCTGCAGAGCCCTGGAGGTGGCACCAGCCTTATTTTGCTCTTTAAAGCACTCGGCAGGGGGTTCTTTCCGTGACAAGGCACCCACAGCATTCAGAAAAAAGCACAAGTTTCAGTCCTTATGGCTCATTAGGGAAGATAATTGTGTTTACCAGCATTAAGAGGATCTAGCAGACAAGAGGCTTCCCGATGGCCAGTTCCTGTGCATAATTAACATGCATATTACATACTTGAAAACTCACTTTCAATTATGTGCCATCCAGTCATTAGGATAAATTAGCTATTTACACAGGCATGAGAGTAAACAATAAAGCCTCTTTCCAGACACTTCACTTCCATTAAAAGACAATGCAACCGTGACAAGCAGCAGCTCAGCACCAGCGAGATATTTTTAGTGGTTAGCAGCAGCTTGATTTATGAAGTTAATAGCTCCCAAGAAGCAGCTTTTATTCCAGCAAATGACACCCGCATAGCAAGATTCAGCTGGCTTGTTAGCAATTTTTCAGAGGACATAAATAACTTGGAATCTGCGGGGTTTTGGGGTTGTCTTTCAAGTCAGGGCCACATTCAGGGCCCTGAGCAGCATTCGGGGAGTTTCGCCTCCCTGCAGCCATCGGCAAGGGCCACGCGGACAGTGAGACACGAGCCCACGGGAAACCCAGGTGCAGAGGGGCGCTGCGCGAAGGCGGCAGCCTCGGCTAGGCTGTTTCTGGACCAGGGCCATGCCAGGACTCGGGAGAACTGTTTCCAAATGTTTCCTCCCGGGCTCATTACAGGCAAGGCAAATAACAGGCTGCACTTGGACGTCTTGGCAAAACTCCATGGGGTGCCCACAGAGGCTGCACCAGCTGCCCCCGGTGCCCCACACACACAGGGATGCGCATCCACATCACACACAGGGATGCGCATCCACATCACACACAGGGATAGGAAGAGATAGCTCCCACGCACAAGGTTCACAGAGAGATAATTCTGCAGAAGGAACACACAGGCACTGGAAAGCAGGCTACCTCACATCAACGTGAAACACCATGTAAAACATAAGAGCAAACACAAACCAAACCGCTGAATTCAAAAATTCCTGCCTCATCTGGATCAAGAGGGAAGTAATTCTAAAATTAGTGCAAATAGGTTCCCAATGCTTCTAATTTTAACCTGTATCTTTCAAATATGAAAACTGCTGCTGAACTTTGTCTGAAGATTAATATAGTTCCATTAGTCTTGAAACAGATCTGCAATGCGAAAAAGCAGGATCCCTCTACATAGGTAGGAAAGCACTTTAAAACATCTTTTTAATCACTGTTGTAGGAGCACTTTAACACCTCTCCTGCTTCTGGGCTGCAATGAATGAATGAATTCAGAGCAGCCCTCACTGCTCTGCACTCAGGGCTTCCTTTTAACTAGTTGAATATTTAAACAATACTCAGTTGTTCACATTCAACTCAAACATGATATGACCAGACATTCTGCCCCCAAGTCACATTTTAATACAGAATTGAAGTACAACATGTTTCACTACAGTATTAAAATGTACTAAAGAATCTCATTTTCTTATTAAAAAAATAATAAAAAAAGGCAGCAGCAGCTCTGCCATATGCTTTGGTTAGGGGCACAGCTGAGACCATGAGCTGCAGCCTCTGGTAACCAGGTATCTGAGGCCCCCAAGGGCCACAGGGCAGGAAACTCGGCTCAGAGGAAACGCAGCAGCCGCCACCGGGGACCTCTTTTTCTCTTGAAAAAGAGCCAGTCCCTTCAAACACGTTATTATTTAGAATAGGAACTACTCAGGAAAGCCCTTCTCAACCACCAACAGTCTCTTTGTAGGAGGAGGGAGGAAAGGACCCCCAGGGCAAAGCACTGCTCATCCCTGGGGCACCCACCACCCCATCTACAGCACTGACCCAGAATGGGAACACACAATGCCAGGTTGATTTAAGCTTCCAGCCCAGAGAGGTTTTTATTTTCCAGTGGGCGTGAGGACAGCACCATGCCCGAGCACTGGGGGGATTCGCCTCTCCTCAGGGTAGCAGAGCTGAGCTCGCCTGAACCCAAGCACCAGCCCTAAACATTTCACACCAGGAGCCACTGCACACAAGGCCATTTCCTCAGTCAAACAAATCAAGGCAGGACCAAAGTTAGGAAGAGTCACTCAGCTACTGCCTGAACCAGAATTTACAGGGAACAAACTTGGGTAGTTCCTGCACCAAACCGTTTTACTAGGTCTCAGACCAGTCTGTTAGTACATCTTTCTTTCTGAGAGAGCATTTTAAGCCAAAGTGGGTGAACGGTCTCAGAAATAACAAGGAGCAAGGGCACCACTGCATGGGCTTGCAGATGGCAATGCTATAGCTCCCCAAAAAGATATTTCATCTATTTCACCTCTATCTTAAAACACAACTGAACCGGCCAGAACAAGGGTGGGTTTTAGTACAGCCTTATGCAAACACTGAAATTTAAACAAAAAAACAGATTCATTCAGCAGCTTACCTTAAAATAAAAAATAGAGCTTGTCACATGGCAACATCACAGAGATACAAACCAGACATCTTTAACCATCAACTACTTTGCAAAGCACATGAGATTCATACTAAAAACATGGAAGCCACCCCCTTAGTGCAATCTGACAGTAGGATTGCCTAGAAAATCAAGAACCACTTGCATTATTTCAGCTCCTGAGCAGCAAGACCACAGTACCTGTGAGAGAAGCAGGAGAGCCCTTCTCTGCAGCCACCACCTGCAGCTTCCCCTGCGCAGACAGGGAGCGGCAGCAGCTCTCCCAGGTGGCCCCACTCACGGCCAGGGTGGTGGAGCCCAAATGCGGTGCAGCTGGGAGCAGCCCCACTCCTCCCCACAGCCCTGACCAGCACCACCCCTCTCCCCATGCCCAGGGCTGCCCGCACCTGTGGCCAGCCCGGCCGGGCCCAGACCCGCCTGCCCCTCGTTGCACCAGTAGAGAAAGGTGGTGGTGGTGCAGCTACCAGCTCATGAGAGCTGCACCACCTTGGGGTGCAGCTCTCCTTCTTGGGGTGACAATGGCAGCGATGCAGCCCAGGCAGCTGGAGCTGAGCACCCTCTGCCAGGCAAAGCACTCTCTACCAGTGTAGCAGTCACTGAGCTACTACCTGCGTGTTGATGCATCACTTAAAGACTATTTGAAGCTTATTTAGAGGTCTGACAAAGCAAAAAGACTGCTCAATTTTATTTTAAAATTAATACTGCAGCATGCACGATGAACTGCAGTCTGCACACACACCGATGCTACAGAGCAGTTTAGGGCTCCTGCACAGCCGCTCTCTGCTCCTTTGTCCCAGGCTCTGGTTCTCGGTACCACGAGGTGCCAAGTGCCCAGCGGGACAAGGGAGACGGTTTGCAGAGGGTTCCAGTAGGAGTCCTGGGGCCAGAGGGCAGGTGCATCTCAACATTCACGAAGGAAATGCATCTTATGGAGAGAAAAACACAGGAAAAGCAACACAAGTGGATTGGGATTGGATAAAGTAGACTCAGGATAACGTATTTTCATGTATTTTTTCATATACATTTTCTGATTCTCAAAAACCTTACGTTCTAGTCCCACCAAGCAGCATATTTTTAAGTAAGTTCAAGTGAATGCTAAAGCCCAACCTGAATTCATTCTGATGAAGCATCTAATATAAAAGTGTGATCTGAGCTGGTCTTGTTTTGACTTCTCTGACCACAGAAGCTTTCCCTCTCCTCCACAGATGTGAGTTTCTTGGATAAAAGTTATAATTAAGGCATTTAACAGCCAGAAATAAGTTAGATTTTATCTTGGTTCAGTGACGCATGTTCCTATTCAAACACCCCTCTATTTGTTGCTCTAACATTAAAATGCAATGACTACTTAAAGGAAAATACAGCTGGCTTTCTGTACTTGGGCCACAGTTTAAAGAAAGGAAAACGGTGCATTAAACAAACAGCATCTGTCAAAACACACTGCAGCTTGGCACCCAGGCGTGTACCCCGAGCCCGTAGTGTGGGCTGAGGGGTGATGCAGAGGCTGAAGCTTGATGTTTCTAGTGCTATTCTGGATGGTGCATCAGCAGCTGGGCAAAGCCTGAGGCGTCATTCGGAGGTGCAGATCAACCCCTCACCCAAGCAGAGCCGAGGGAGAGAGACCTTCCCACAGCCACCGACCCGGCCAGCCAATCCTGGCACCGCCGCCTCCTCAGGAGCGGATTTCACGCAGCTCATCCAAGTCTGGAGTCACCACCGCTCCATCTGCAACATCTTACTTTTCCCTATTGTGCGACCTTGTGGTTGCAACAGTAAACAGCAGCTGGAGCTCACTGTTCAAAAACACTGCATTCTCCTTTCCACAAGGATTTGCATGGGGCTCCAGCCTCAGGACTTCAGTCCCCCACACTGGGGCGTTTTGCACATGATGGGGCCCGAGTTCACTGCCAATAATGAGAGCTCCTTACTAACACTGATGCACAGTTCATGCTACTGAGCTCAGTTTGCAGATGGGATGCACCTGAGGTTTTACATCTCCTTCAAGCCACCCCATTTCATGCTCCCTGTTAAAATGGAAGAGCACAAAAACAAAACAGAGCCCTGAGAATCAGCAGCCTTGGTCGAGCTCTGCCAGGCCAGTGCGCCATGAGGTAGATGGTGCCACCACCAGGGTCCCTGCTGGGCCGGGCTGAGCTCCCCGCTCCAAGCCTCAGTCCCGAGGAGGAACCAGACCGGGCCTGAGAGCAGAGCCAGGCGGGAGAGAAGGCCGGGAAAGGCTGCGGGAAGGCCTTGGGAGCTGATGGCCTTGCACCCTGCATGGGGCCCATGCCAGCAGAGGCGTTCAGCGGCCGCATGAAGCGCCCTGGCGAGTGGGCACCAGCGCCGCGGGGCTTCGGCAACTGCGGTTCCCAGTGCGCAGCCATAGCAGATTTCACTGTTCACGCAAGAAATGTTCATACCTCACGTTTGACTAATTTTATCTCTTCCATGGATGACATTAAGAAACACCTTTGAATTGCTCCAGGGAAAAGACTAGCACTTTTCACCATGAAAGAGTAAACCTGGAGTATACATAGAGCACAGCACACTGCAGCACCCCCAAGAGAGCTACACAGCCATATACAAGCACATGTGCCTGCACCATAGCTCCATTACTGCAAAAAGCAACCAGAATTTCAGGGAAAGGAGATAAGTGAAATCACCTGTAAAGTAACTCTCTAATAAATGAATATTCCCTTTCGGAAGCCTATTTCTTTCTGAGAGTCATTACAGAGCTGATGATGTGCAATCAAAAAGACTGAGGATGGATAAAGCAATCTTAAAATACTGCTCTTTCATATGAACTGCAGGTTGTTGTAATAAATTAGTGTATTTCAGAATGCCAGCTTTTGGAATATGACAAAAAAAAAAATGTGGGTTGTAGTATAGAATTCATGAAATAAATTATGCTTAGAAGTCAATTCCCAAAGGTATTACGAGATCAAAGAAACATGGGAAGCTCTACTTCCTTGCAGCTCCCTTCCCACTCAGAGCATCCATTGACTTGGCTTTTCCTTGTTTGCTATTCCTGATGGTAGGATTTACCTGATTTACCACTTGTTTGCTATTCCTGATGGTAGGTCAGTCAGCTGAGATGGGCCATGTCTCCCAGTTCGTTGCTGAACGGACAAGAATGGTTAAGATTTTAAAGAGGCAGTTGGAAAAGAGCAGAGAAGAGACATACTAAAGAAGAGCAAATGAGTAAACAGACTGCATAAATAAGGAAGGTAGCACACAAAGGGAGATGAAAACACAAGATAAGAAACCTCATGAAGACAGACACAGAAAAGCATGATATATTGAGAGGGGATGGAAAAACAAAGTCCCACAAGTTTGCAGGATATATTTACACAGCACGTACAATTTCTTTTAGGTATGCTAAGGAGTTGGGGCAAAACAACTTGCACTCCAGACTGGTGTAAGTTTCTGATCAATATTAGGCAGCAGCTTAGCCTTGTATGTTAACCAATGATGAATATCTTTGCTGTATCATTGCTATCATCCTTGTGCCAGTGCAGTGATAACAACTGCAAAATCTGAACCCAGAATCGAGCTCTACCTGTGCATTTGCCCAGGGCTAAGGAGAAAAGAAAGAGAGAAAAGGGGCTTGAGAGAACTTTCTGGGTAAAAAAAATCACAGCCAAAAAGAGATGAAAAGCAGAAGAGAAGCAGGAAATCAGCGGTCATATGCTTATCTTACCACAGATGTGTGCAGTTTTGACTAGCTTTTGGAGCAGTACACCAAGCAGAATCGTGCTGTCATTTGCATTTCTCAAGCTTTTCCCTACCTGTCTTGAATGCATTATATGCAGGGATATAAGAGGCATCCTGTTCTCTTCTGGAGAATCCCTGTTAAAATAGACAAAATAATCAATCAGGGTTACATTCATCAATTAACTCAGCAAAGACCTTGCAGGAAAACATTGGAACCTATTTTCTAAAAATACTTGTTAATTTATTGAGGGGCAATCACCAATTTAAAACTCTCCCTTATGATGACATCTTTTAAAACTAAATACTCAAGGCCTATAACCTGTCATGACAGCAATAATTAAAATACTTTAGCATTAAAAAAATCTACTTTTGCATTTAAATAAAAGTAACACATTGAATATGGTTATTTATAATTTTAACTTAATATAAATAATAGTTCAGACAAAATTTAGTGTGTAAAGTAAAATAAGTCATTGGGAAACATGAGGCATAGATAATTAGTAAGAATTACCTGCATGGGCAGGTTTTACCTCACAGCTAAGCCTTCAAGTAACTGATGCAAACTTTCATGTTTAAGTTGTTAATCCCATAGACTGTGAAGTGCTATTAGTATGGAATACTTTCCTGCTATAAATATTCTACAGACTGATTCTTAGCAATAAAATCATCTTCCCAGAATGGTAGACATAATCATACTCTGAGGTGCATGCCATGAATCTGTTATTACTCAGTGGCAAAATCTGAGGACATTCTATGCCTAAGATTGTATTTATTGTCACTGTTTCACTGCAAGAAACTTGCAATGACCTAACACAGCATCCAGCCCACATGAACATCTTTGCTGACATAGCACAAGCAGAGCTGTGCTATTAATGAGCTGCTCACCCTGCACGGGTCACAGCAACAGGGTCTTCCCCAGGCAGCTCTTGCAAAGAGTGAAGCTAATTGTGGAGAGAAGAAATCCAGGCCTGCAGAGCCCTGAGAAGTTCAAATTAGCAGTCGCTTGGGCTACTTGTGCCTAAAGCCAACCCTGCCTTTAACTAGTCCCAAGCGGTGTGACTTCCTTTTAACTCTCACACATTAACTTCCAGTTTTGGAATGAAGGATGGAAAAAAAAAATTAAAGCTGAATGTGTACTCGATTCACTTCTAGGACTCCAGCACTGCAGTGCCACAGCCTCATGCTGCAGGCCATTTCTGACCTACAGGTGCAGAGAAACGGCTGTAACGGGGAAGAAGAACAATGGCACCTGTGATAAGTTATGGGCCAGGTGGTTGTGCTCATCTGTCACCAGTCTGATGAAGGCCAAGCCTCTGAACAAGGACAACGGGAGCTTTTTGAGGCAGTGTGTGGCTGCTAAGAGCTGAGCTCCAGCTGTGCTCAACCCCTCTGAAGGATGTGCAGCTGAGGTGGGAATGGCCAGCGACCAGCGGCTCAAGAGGAGGTCGGCTCACACATCTTGACCCAAGTCTTCATGCATATGTATAAAATATCCTTTTAACTTCTTCTAGCTTATCAGTTTCTTAGGAACCACTAAAGTATCTTGAAAAATTGGGAAAGAGTCCAAAGGTTGTGCCAAATGGTGATTTTCCAAGAAGAAATTAACATCTGGTATAAACTTATGTTGTCTGAGGAACTGACTGTAGACGTTCATATTCATCTGAATAGTCACCTGAAATGCAGTGAACATCTAGCTGAACTTTTGCTACAAACATTATTTGAAGCTTGCAAGACATCCACCTGGTAAAATATTATCATAAAAAATTTATTTCAATGAAAACACTTAGAACAAATTTTAAAATGCAGACATTTGATTTATTTACAGAGAATATCACTTGCAAGAAGTCTTGCACTGCACTCCCTCCACTTTAAGTACAATACAGTACACCGTTCTCCACAATAAGTTACATAAAGGGAAGTTTTATATACATGTAAAAAGGATCAGTGCCCAGAACTATTTGCACAGCATATCTGCCATTCAGAAACCAAACAATTAAATCTCTTAATCGCCTTCAGATTTCTTGAAACAAACTGAATTGACAAACAGATCTTAATTATCTGAGAGAAGGGTTTTCAACTAACTTCTAAATTCAGTGGAGACCATGCAAATGGTTCAATCCCTGAACTAGCATTCTCAGCACTCATTTTAAGAGCAAAGATACAAAAGAGGCATGCCATATGATCGCATATAAGACAACATGGAGAAAAATGCCCTGCCCGCATTTCAACAGTTTATATACCCTGAAATCTCCAAAAGAAAAGTAGGGAAATAGCAGTGCCATTGTACGAGGCACTCATGAGACCACACATGAAACTACAGAGAACTCTGTTCATGTCTGCTCAAATAAAATGAACTCAAACGGAAACAGTGAGGAACAAGGCTACTAGGATTATCAGTGGAAAGGAGAGTATCCCGCGAGGAAAGACTGTAATAGCTTTTTCCAACGTGTGGAATAGTCTCCACAGTCCATGACTGCCTTCTAAAACCATGCCAGGGAAGGCCAGACAAAGAGAAAGTAAGCAAAGGACGAGACCGGCTCAGTGGCAAATGCACCACTAACAAACCTAACAAGTGGGTGCTGAAATGCCAAGACAGTTTCTCAACTTTAAGGCTGAGAGGTACAGGCAGGACCTTTCACGATGGGGTAGTGAGGTCAAGCATCCTTAAGCAACTGAGTTTACTAGTACAACTCAACTTATAAGAGCCTAAGACACAGAGTCTTACTGTGGCAAAGAGAGACCCAGAAACAAAACTGAAAAGTTTCCAACCTGCCTGACCCATCTCCAAGATAAAGCGGCCTCTCTTTTACAATGTGAAACTATTTTAAATGCTTTAAAAATCCACTTTAAAAGATTTTCATTTCTCCCCCTTTCCCATATATTACTCCATATTCAGCAATGTGAATGTTTGTTAATATAAGAAATACAGCACCAAGCTTCTGCTGTGAAGGAAGCAACCTGAAGAGTTCGCATACTGCTCTGCATTTCACGGATAGTTTTTACAGGGAGATCCTTGGTTAAACTTGGCTCGTTCTACACATTTCTCTCGTTTCTACAGCAGAATGCAAGTATAGCATCCCTCTAAAGGTACAGTACAGTGAGGCATACAAGACCGAAAATACTCTGCAGACAATGCAAAAGATTATTTAATTCATAAAATAATGCAGATATAAGAATTGCAATGTACCCTGTGGAAAGAGTTGCGCATTTCACCGATGCGTTTATCCAGTCAATTCTGAAGACACTTTCCTTGAAGTACCTAAGCTTCCTGGATTCTTATTTCAGGTACTTGAACTGGTAAGATATGTAGGTAAGAACGTATCAGTCATAGAATTGCTTAGAAAACAAGAACAAGAACCAAAAAAATAACCCTAAACTCTTCTTCACTGAAAAAGAGAGGCACTGCATTTTTAAGCTGAATTAAGGCTGTAAAACAATGCTGGTTCATTGTGAATTTGAAGTCATCATCTTCACCCTGCGCCAGGGCTCCATCTAACCCGCGGCTTCGCTGTTAGTCCTATAAGCCTGTTTGCGGAGATGAGTCTCAATCTCCTCCCTGAAGACCAGCATGCCAAGGTGCGAGTGAGACGCTTCGTTCATGGCTTTGGACTGGATGCACATGCGGTACTGCTCCGGAGTCAGTTCGTCTGCACAGTGCTTCTCGTGCCAGAGGTGGAAGAGACCGGGCACTGGCGTCCTCACCACAATAAGGTCACCGTGCAAGTACTTCCTGTAAAGGTGGACGTCCTCACCGCCCCAGCCTTTCACTTCCAAGTCAAACCCCCCTATGAAACAACGTCAAAAAACGTTACCGAGGTGTAAAAAGTTAGATCTAAGGCAAGATGAGCAACAGTGTAGCACATGAACAAATTTTGTATGACAAACCAGAAATTCTGGAGCAGTTAACTGTTAGCCCCATGCTAAAGCATGACAAATTGAGGGAGAGAAGCTTCAAGCACTGCATCCTTTGTGGTAGAAACTGCCTCAGACACAGATCACGCGCTGCTGGCATCAGGGAGTCTCTTCAAACAGAGTCTCCAAATCACATTACATGTGACATAGCATGTGACAGCTGCAGAGAGTGGCAAGCAAGCCTCCCTGGGCATGCTTCTCCTGTTCTTAGCAATCATAATGGATTTTAGTATCTGGATAATGAAGCAGTCATGCACCATATGAAAAACTCTTCTCTTTGAATGCCAGCAATTACTCCATAGATTGCAACTCAAAACCTCGGATTAAGGGAAGAAATCCAATCCCACCACTGTTGGTTCTCTCTTGCCTTACCAAGGCTGTAGCAAGAGAAACAATCCAGACTGACAAAAAAACTCAAAACCTGAGAATTCTGTCGTTGTCATGTGCATGTTATGTACTAAATGAAAATGAGTGTTACTAGAAATTAAACAAGGTTGAATTAACAAGAGAGCAGCTAAGGCAAGGAATGCAACAGCATCTAGTTCTCAACTGAAGTAAGTCAAGATGTTGTGTTTTAACAGCACGCCACAAGAGGGTGCCAAAGTATATTCCTAAAGCCTTAGGCAACTATATCCAAGTATTACTACTCAAGCTGTTCAAAAAACATTAAAGAATTTTAACATTTTCATGGGAGGTCTTCTTGGGAGATATCCTTCAAAAAGTTGGTTAATTTAGTTCATATAATCAAAAAGTAGAAAGAAACTATTTTTAGAAGTTTCTGAATAAAATGTTGTTTATTTTCATGGATACTGTGTTTTTTAACAACTGTTGGTTAGACGGCATGTCAAGATCTAAAACACTTACCTCTTAGTCTAAACTTGACCATCAGCAAGTCTGACTGCTGAACTCAGCAAAATAGCATGAGACAAATGCAGGAGCTTATACAAGGCTATCTTGAAGCTATGTAAGAAGAGGGAACCTTGCTACAAAAAAACCTGCTCAGTTTCATCTTACCAACAGTCAGAAAGTCTGTGCGATACTGACAAGTCATCCCGAAGCCAAAATCCCGCCAGAAACCTGAATCCTTCTTGTGTACCTGCAATTTTAAAATGATAGTGTTGTGAAATGTAAGACACAATGAAAGAAATAGGAGTACATTGTAATTAGTTTTGTAGAAACAATTTCTTTTGACAGTCCTTCCACCTTTAGGCAACCAAGACCCAGAAAATATAGCACTTCCCCCTTTCTGCTGAGGACAAAATTACCATAAGTGTATGTGGGGTTTATTTATTTATGTTCATTGCAACCAAATTTCTCTCTCTAGTTGCATATTTCTCTAAAATACAGGTAGAGCTCTGTTTTATCTAGTATGTGATATTTGTACTGTGTGATAAACTTCTTTTCCAAGTATTTTGTCTGTAATGGAGAAAAATGCTTGGATATTTAATCACATTACTAAATGTTCTAAGATACCCCACATTTAATTTTGGTTTAATACAAGGCACAACTACCCTTCTTCAGAATGAATCTGGCTGCTTACCAGTTGCTGCTCCACAGCAGGTGGTGTATCTTGGTTGGCATATACAATAGCAGGATTATAGAGGCTAAATACCACCGGATAGAAAACCTTCTTTCCTAAAAGGAAAAGGAGATAAATAATTATTAAGACTATTCCCTTTCCAAAGGCAAGAGGAAACTGTAGGAGTCTCCTCTTTATGTGGCATGTTATTAATCATCTAGTGAAAACCAGTAAGTATGTACATCTCATCAGATAACACAGCAAAAAAATCCCTAAACAATCATAAGCAGTTAAGTTACAAAAATAACCAAGACCAAGGAACACACTGCATTGCATGCTTTTAAATAAATAAATAGCAGGCTATGTCCAGCATGCAAGAGTCCCACGAGGTCATTAAGTGTTGCAAGTATCTCGGCTGTGCTGTGCCACCAGTTCTAAACCTATTACCGGAATCTGACAGGTGTTTTTCAAGGGGCTCTTGCTGATGCCTTCAAATCTCGCTCGAAGCAGAGGTGGCACAACTACCAGCAGAAACTGCCGAGCAGTCTCTCCAACTCCCTTCCCTGTGCAAATTGACCAAGTATTTTGGAGAGTAAAACTCTCCAAAGTTTTTCAAAAACTTACACAAACCATTTCATGAATTTCAAACACAGGCAAAAGTAAAGAGCAAGAATTAGAATCCAAAGAGCTGACCAGTCTTTCTTGTCCATTCATTATGTGAAAAAAAAAATCTATTCATTCCAAATTGATATTTGAAGAGTAAGTTTTGTAGTTGCAACAAACCTGCATTAAGAGTAACCATTAAATCTATCTATCTATATATTTTTCCCTTTTGACAGAAGAAGCCTTAGCAGAGCGTTTCAAGGCAGCGCTCAAAACTCAAGAAAGCATTTTCTTCTTGTAGAAGCTTGTAAAACAAGTGAGCTTCATAAACTTGAGACAACCAGGTCAGAAAAAATCACAGCTTGGGATGCAAGTGTGGAACCGTAGCTCTGCCCCAGCCTCATGTTGGGTAGCTTTTACTGCAAACACTTTTATAAACAAAACACAGGTAAGTACTAAAAGACGTAAAACCAACTTGTTAAAGATTTTTGTATAAGAAGAATTACATTCCACTTCCATGAGACTTCCCATGTAATTCTGTTACACAAATCTCCTACAAATTAGCAAAAATTAAACCGTCGGACTTTTTCTTACTTGCCTAAGCTGACAATGTGAAAACTTATCTATTGCACAAAAATACAATGAATTCTTATCTCAAAACAAAAACTAGAGAATCAATTATTTTTCAGTCTTTAAAGTATTTTCTTTTGAGCGTGGTTCTTTTTCCTTTAGCTAGCTGAATGCTATTGAACAGGTTCTACCATTCCAACGAGTCTGGATGCTCAACTACGGACACTTTAAAAGCCCAACAAGCTAAGACTCGGTTAGAGCAACTTAACAGGAACATACCGGGCTCCGCATTCAAGCGGCAACTGTTGAGGAACTCGGCTGTGAAATAAACATCAACGTCACAGAAGAACATCAGGACCTCGCCCTTCTCCCAGGCTCTGGCACCCATGTCGAGTCCCCGGCCACGGTTAAACTCCTCATTCAAAGAGACAAGTGTGTAATTGTGGAAATTAGTTTCCCTGAAAGAAAAACAGAGTCAAATTCAAAATAAATCCATGCATGGGGTGGAAGGACTTTTATACTCTTCCAACATTTTACAGGAATTTCGTTTGGACATTTAAAAAATAATCCAGTTCTATATCAGGATGAGATCAGCGTTCAGCAGCTAAATGGTGGCTTCACAGCAGTAAGACAGAATTCACTGCTACCTAAAGGTTTCTACCCATGACAGACTAATTCACCGTGACATTTTAATCCAGCAATGCAATAGTCTCTGCCAAACACAGTTCATCAGAAAAGACTCGGTCCTGCACTGTATGACGCGGACACGCAGGCCACAGGCTCATTCTGGCTAACAAACTTAACAGGCTCCCAGCTCAGGAAGGAGAACGAGAGCTCAGGCAGAGAACTAGCTCCTTAGAGACTGATGGACACAGCTACTCAATCTGAAAGCGAGACAGATTTCTCACCTAACTGGGCAAAGCTGCCCCGTTCCTCTGAAGCAACATTTGCAAGTTTTATATACAAACTGCTGTAATTCTATTTTCTGTAAGCCACAGCTGACAAAATACCCTTTATTTGAAGCTATTCTATAGAAAAAGGTAAGTATAATGGACATTCTGGAACCATTACATGGTACAGAGAGCCTAGAGGACAAACCTAACTTCTTGGCCAGACAGATTGAGAAGCAAAGCAGCCCTGAACACAGCAGCCAGTCATTTCTCTTCCTCGTCATTGAAATAAATTCTCCAGTGCAAAGAGCTGTCACAACATGCATCCCAGTTCAGGTACAATTAAACACTGCACCATTAATTCTGAACAGTCTGTTAATGTAAATGAATATTCATAGCAAAACTTCTGTATTTTTTGGTGCTGTCAGTCTCAAAGCTGCTGCTGTTAGGCTTTCTTGGCCTTTTTAGATGTGCATGCTTCAGGTACAGAAAACTCAAAACCTCACCTAAAAGTTTATTGCAGACTTTTGCAATTTAACCTGTGAAACACTAAAAGTAAAAATATTCATTGCAAGTTGTATCTGCCTATACATTTTTTTTCATTTATTGTTCTTTCGTTTTTAAAAATGACTAACTACCATTCAATCTTGTTTGTACTGCTGATATTGGATATACTTACTTACCTAGCTACAGACTCTAGGATGCTTTTCACTTCTGACAGTCCGTCTTGTCCAAAATACACCACAGTGAGGTGAATACGCTTATCTTGATGAATACACACATCCCTATAAGCACAAAGACGAGCTGCTGTTATTACTTGCAACACAACAGAAACCTCAGGCACTTTAAAAAAAACATCGACAGATACAAATATTTCAGTGAGACTTTAACTAGCTTTTAAAGAAAGCAAAGAAAAATGTTTTCCTGCCTCTCTCCCCCTATTTCCCACTTGAATTGGATTGTACCAATATTATATGCCTCACTCCAATGCCTTATTTTAGAAAAAGAAGCACAAAAGGGGGCATAAGTACAAAAAAGGGCATGCTCAAGAACATCAGTTTCCAGGTTCACAATAGTCCTGGCATTCATTCCAGGAGGGGGTTTGGTATAGTTTGAGATGCAGTTAAATCCATGTGGAAAGAATGCTTTCCCCATATAAACAGTTTGGTTACAAACACTCCAAGGCAATTGCACACAAGGCTGGAGTCATTAGTTCTACCATAAATCTACCAGGACACAAATTCATTTGAAAAATGGAAAAATCACTAAGAGTCAGTAACACAGCTCACTCTACAGTCTAACGCACCTACCTAAAGTTTTGCATAAATTGTGCAAATGCCTCAGTTCTTCCAGCAAGAGGAACAATAATATTAATGATTGATCTAGAAATATCGACTGTTTCACTCTTCACTTTCATGAGTGGTCCAAAAGGTCGGAACAACGTGACATGTCTGTACTCCATGCCATCCATCTTCTTATAAAACAGCTCGTACTGTGTCCCCTTATCTCTTTCCGTACGATAGTAACCTGAAGAATAAGTCACATAAGCAACTTATGAATTCAGAGATCCCAGCAATTTTATTTCAGAAACACCAATTTTCTTGATAAGCATAAACAAATAAAAACATCTTTTTTTTTCCCCCCTAAAGTAAGAAAAAAAAAAATCCTACAAACTACTATGAATTACAGTAACTTTTACTTTCTTAGAGTTGATCTGAAAAATAAGCTCAAGCCTATAATTCCCCCTGGCTTCTCAGGGTTCAGCGACAGGTTTTATGACATTGTACATCAGCTTCTCAGGTTCTCGAGCACGTCGTGATTCAGGCAGAACATGATTCCCAGGGAAAGAGAGGGGCACCTTACACTGCCTTTTCTCAACCCCTTCAATAAGGAGCCACCCTTCCCCGGGCTACTCCACACCATTAGCAGGGATTGTCTGGCCAGCAACAGACACAGCGCAAGCTCTGCTTGGCAAAGCCCATGAAGCCAGAAATACGATACCTAAAGAAAATCTGTGCGATAAATACTGCAATACTTTAAAACTATTGTTTCAGTTGCTGACCACAAGCTACACTGTTTTCTATCCCATAAACATGGGCAGTGATGTTTTACTCCAGACACAGTGTTCAAAGTTTTCTATGACACTTCTTATTTGATAAAACAATTAGTTTGCTATAGATCCACTGTCCACTTAGGTCCACTTATCCACTTAGAGATACTTTAATATAAAAGGCTTGTTGGGTAACAGAACCTACCCGTTTCAGGACAAATATTTAAAATTTGCTGACTGCTTTTATTTAAGACACATCCAGGAATTAAGCCAAACCAAATAGCCTCTCCAGTGGTAAACCACAAAGGAAAAGACCGAGACTCAATCGTGCACTTGGCAGGATGGCTAATCCCACGTCTGTCTTACCTCATGCTAGCCTGAGGGTAAACAGTGATGACAGGAAAGATACTCCAACCCAACTGCCCTTTGCTCACCCCATCTCCCTACGGCAGAGAAAGGGGAGTATAGATAGCTAAAGAACATGAGCTAGATAAATCAAACAATTCTCAGCTGAGCAGGCCCCGCAGGCCTTGGTAGCAGCTAAGGAATGGCTACACATCCCCAAATGAGCAATCACCCGTGTGCTTCCAGTCACTTGACAGGCTGCAGCCTGGGCTGTCCGTCCTGCACACAACCTGCCCAACCTCCCTCTCTTCCAGCTTCCACCTCGAGAGCAGGTGGCAGGAAATGCTACAGAGCTGCTCTGGTGACACAGAGGTCTCCCTTCCGTGTGTGGTACCGATACCACCCTTTTTCAGTCTACTGCAAATTAGACAAGGGTCTGAGAACATGTGCAGGGAGCAGCCCTCATGTTAAGAATGGCTTGTTCTTAATTTACTTAATTAACTCATTTCTAGCTCAAGAACTAGAAAACAAATGGTCCTACAGCTCTTCTACTTTTCCTCTGAAAAAAAGCATCTCCTCACCCTAGAGCTTCCCCTGTCAGTTCTCCCCCACACTCCTTTCCTCCCATTGCTTTCTCACTCCACACCAGAAGCAGGGCACACGTACAGTCTTGCCCCTGCTGTCCCCCTTGGCATCCCAGACTCACCCTCTACCTTCCTCCTCCATTCAGTTGCTTAACACCCTTTCCCCCGCTCTACCTCGCTCCTGCAACACCCTTCCGCGTCAGCTTCCTTCCCCAACCACCCCCAAGCCACAGCCACTCTCCCCTCCTTCTGCCCCGGTCTCTATCTGCCTCTCTAACAGCAACTTCCCTCTCCCACTTCACTATTTTGCAGCATCTCTAACGCACCTTCTCGTGCACGTGCACGAACTGAACCCACAGGAAATGGGATTACTACTAGAGAGGACCCCTGGGACACAGGGTGCAGCAGAACAACCAGCTGCCACGCCTGAAAGCCACTGGGGACCAAATAAGCCTTTCACCCACATGCTCTCTAGGTGTGTAAAAAGTTTTGCAATGCACTCTTATTTAAGATACATCCATCCGCATTTACACCTTTTAAACACACAACTATGTAAGATAAGCACCATATTTAGTACTGATGACAAGCATGAGTATTTGAGATTGGCAGGCTAATGACAAGCATTGAGAAGGGTGTCTCTGTGCAACAGTGAAGGCTCAAAGTCTGACTGCTACAAGCAGAAAAAAAAATACAAATCCCTGCCAGTCCTTTTCCACTCCCACACTTTGTGTAGAGTAGTCCCGTGTGTAGCTGAAAACAGTTTCTCGGTTAGAGAAGCTGATGCACCACAGTAAGTGTCTTCATACCGTGATCTCAAGTGATGAACAGCAAGTACTTCACACCCCTACTCCTGGATATATTAACATTTAATACTTTTCTCTAGTATTCAATAGCTGTTTAAAGATGAAATATTTCCAAAACTTTGCTTACTCTCTAAGCGGTATCTGCCACAAGTGCTAATACCTTATGCCTACTCAAAGGATAAGGTACAAGACCTCAGTCTACATCATGCCAGAGAAAAGAATTCTTCAAAATAAAAAAATACTGCCGCATCTTTTGCTGTATGTAACTTGATAGAACCCTCAATACCTTTAACATACAAGTCCAAGTTGTGCAGAGCCTTGTGAACATTCACTTGCTGCAATGTATGACACCAAACCATCTCCCCATTATATTTTTTATGTAGCAAGTGTTTGCTCCTCAACCTTCTTTCTCTGTTATGAGCTACCCCACAGAGGTAATTTACAGGCTTGAATTTTGATCTATGTGGTAGAATGTACATTATTGAATTACCCTTATTCCTCCCACATATAGAGTGCTTTTTTTGAAATGATTGAAATAAAGTAAAATAAGTTTTGATGCTTTTACTGATCAAGACGGCGATATTCTTTTCACTGATCTCCAAAGATGATGCAAATACAGCAGAAGAATAATTTAGGACATGTTCAGTAATGATGAAGAAATACCCTTAGAGGGAATGGTCTATAAAAAAGGAGGAAAGATTCAAAGCTTCAACAGCTACCAAATTCTCTAAGGATTTACTAGTGTATCTGAAAGCACATTCCACAGGAGATTACAGAGTTCGTGGTTTAGTCTAATATTTAACAAATCTAGGAAAGAGCTGAAATAATTCCCAGAACCAAATTTCTATGTGAAAAAAAAATAGACTGCTGAAGCGGGAAGTTAGGACACTTTCCTAAAATAAACACGCCTGGTTTCTAGTCTGGCTTGTGGCAGTGGCACAACTTAATGGGCAGTGGTACAGCTTTGTGAATAAATTTCTGCAGGCAGATTTGCAGTCGTTTTGAGAAAGCAGTCCTGCAAGTCAAAACACCAGGACATCTATTTTAGGCATAAATGATGGTTATGTATTATTTTATGCAATATCATGCGAGTTTTTTTCTTCCCTAACATACAAATCCAACTCTCTAGTAGTTTCTCAACCTCTTGTATTAAACTACTTCAAGATCTCCTCTTAATCTTGGAAGTCCTAAACCACTTGGTGCAATACAACCAGCAACTGAAGAGGATACAGAACTTCAACAAATTATTTGCTTTAGTTCCAGACAATTTAAACAACTTGTCTCCAAATAAACAACATTAATGTGTCAACAACACAGTAGTGCTCTTAAGATGCTTGCAGGAACAGCTGTGACTTCAGTAAGGGCTCCGAGTCGGCTATGAAACGTGAACCTATCTGTTTGTGGTAGCTGGAGGGAACAGCATTCTCCAAATGGAACGGAAGCAAGGGCAGAACTGCTCAGAAAAGTGCAGTTCTGAGGCCCGAATCAGCTTGGGCAGTCATTAAAGGCAGGACATGAGGAAAAAAAAAACCAAAAAACCCCAGTATTTCAGTAGTAATAGACAAAATCCACCAAAAATGCAAGCAGTATCTAAAAGGGTTGAAGAAAAGCTGTTGCATGTAACAGAAAAACATTAATAGGACACCGCAGGAATGATTTTGTTCAGCCAAAATAACACCGTTTTGGACAAAAACTTTACTAAAGTCTAACACCACACTGCTTGTGTTATATTGACACAGTTCAATGGATTCTACATCCTGCTCCACCTTCCTGAATAATGCCATGTACTTTGCAGCAAACGTCCAACAAAGCAGCAGCTCAGCGAAACAGGCTGCTGTTCAAAAGACTTTTAAGACTACAGACCAACTGCCTCATCCCTGACTGAAAGGGCTGGTTATTCCAAGGCCAGTGGTACCTCCCTGCAGCAGGTCTTTGCTTAACAGAACAGACAGCAGTGCTGTGAGATCCAGGTTCTCTTTTACAGCAATGCTCCTGCATTCACAACATGCTGCCATAAAGAAAGCTGGAGTATGAGTTGCATAATACCGTAAAGGTACAGGGCAGTATTTGCCAATACTCATCTGCAGCATTACACTGCACCTTGAGAGCCATCTCTACAGGAATTACAGCTCCTGCATCCTGTGGGTGGGCCAGCACAAGCGCTGGAAGGCAGCCTGGGTGCTTGTTTCTACGGACGTGCTCCGTAATTAAACTTATAAGCATGGAAAAATTAGTTGCACATAGTTCATACTGGGCCTAATTAAGGTTTCATAGCTTAAGTGTCTTCAGGAGTGGTATATCAGTCTCCCCACTCAAAGGTCCATCGAGGACACCAAATTCTTGAGTTGACATGGTCAAAACACAATAATCTACCAACACTCCCTCTTCATCACAAGTCTGCCGACTCCATGAGAACAAAAGGCCTGAATACCAAAAGTGGCACAGACATCTGAAGAAAAATACTCCGCAGCTTCACAACTGAAAAGCTTAATTATGCAGGAACAAGAGCAAGAGAATCAATTTCTCTCTCTCTCTCTCTCTCTCTCTCTCTACACTAGATTTATTAAAAGCCTTTCAGTTATTTAGTACCATAAGGAAAAGCATAAACCTTCAGATAAAAAATCACCCAGGAAACGTTTCAATATTTTAAACTGTACGCTTACTGCGGTGAAACTTCCTTCCTGATCCCCCCTCAAAAAACATCATTGTGAAGCTACAATGTTAAGCTACAGATTCTTAAACAGAATTAAAGATTCTTATCATGCAATTTCCATTTAAGATCTCATTCCAGTACACAAAAATACTAGAACTAAAAGCATGATTAAATATTCACAGGGACATTCAGTAAACTGCTTGGAAAGCATCTAATAAATATTTACCATACCTTCTACAAAATCATTTTCATTATACAGCTGCCTCTCTTCTACTCCATCATCTTCATCTTGCCCATCTTCTTCATCTGGATTATTGATAACCTCCAACCCAGCCTCGATAACTTCCACCAGTTCATCTCGTTTATCCTTTCTAACGGGCTTTTCCTCCGGGTGCCGAGTGAGCCCCATCTCGAGCTGGAACACCTTCATGGACGTGAAGCTTTCAAAGGGAATGACACCGTATTCGCTAGGCAGCTTAGCCCCCACGCTCACCTCAGCCTTGTCAATCTGAGAATGGAGAAACTCGAGGAGATCGTTGGATGCTTGTTCTTTGGTGCCCTGGTAGTTCATACCGTTGATCTTGGGGCTCTTTTTCTCCTGCAGGGCTTTCAACTTATCACTCATTTCCTGCAGCTCCTGCTTGAGCTGGGCAATCTGACGTTTCAGACTGGTAGCTCGGGTCTGATAATGCTCCTCCTGCTCCTGGAGAAGGGCTTGGTAGTACTCTTTACCCAGGCCCTCGCCCACGACGCCCGGTAGAGATCCATTGCCCTCCGTTTGTGGAGCACATTCCAGCAAGTACATGAGCAAGATTAAACTGAATAGTAAGGCCAGACCCAATAACAGCCAACGAGTTCTGGCTTGAATTACTAAACCTCTCCTGGGCATCCTTATAATATTTCCACTTCCCATCCAAAAAGAGGGCTTCTCTGCTCACACCTTTGTGGGAACATGCCCCCAGAATCCAAATCTCAGAAAGTGAACAAGTGTAGTAGCTGCTGTAAGTTCTGATATAGCAGCATATGAGCAGTTTTCAACCTTTTCAACCTTCATGTGCCACTCCAGAGACATATGTCTGAGGTTCCTATGTCATCCATAACCATCAATTGTGAGCGTGGCTGATGCAAAATGCTTTGTTCACGATGTCCCACCCCAAAGAAATAAAAACATAATAGGGGAAGAAGGGAGACGAGAGCAAGGAACCATATTTCCACTTCTTAAAAGGAATAGTTATGGGATTTTTATTTAGCCCACTGGAAGTCCAGTAAGGCAAGTCTGCCAAAGCTGTTTGGTAGGTTTGGAATGCACAGCATTTAGTTCTCCCCAAAACATAAAAATCAAGGAGTCTACAGTTTAGTAATAATAGCTTTCATTGACTAGTCTGACATTTTCCTCTGACACTTGGGTATTTTATTCCATTTTCCCCTCCTTTCTTTGGAATCTGTGGTTTAAGTCAGCAGAATGAAGACGGAACCTAAAATTAAAAGAAAGGTGCATATTAGAACTACAAGGCAGCTGGTAATTTGGAAAACACACAAAGAAAGTTACAACATAAGGACACGAAAGAGCATTAGGGAAAGGTAGAGGAAGAGAAGGAAAGATAAAACATTATTTCTTTCCACTGCATTTCTCAACAGTGACTTCATCCGACACACTGTCTGGAAAACACCAATATGAACGAAAGACCTATTGAATTTTTTTCACAGAGACAGTTTAAGCTGTAAGGGTTCTTCTAGTCTCAGCGTATATTTGAACTGTGCACTCCCTCCCCACAGAAAAATATCCGTAAAACAAGAAACACACACGTGCCCTTCTTATTGATGTGGATTTAGGAAAAAAAAAAGTCAAGGATCCTTTTGAAGAAGCAGAGGAAGATTCCATTTCCATTTGCTTTTATTTTAGGTAAATATCTTCCAGGGAATAAAAGTTTTATTCATGAGGAAATGGTTAAGACTTGAACAAAGGTCACAAAAACAGCCTTTTAGAACAGGTCAAAATTAAGCAGAATTTCAAATTCAAATGCAAGTTTTTGACTGAGAAAAAAACATCTCCCAGACTAACATTTCTCCCTCTGCTTTACACAGGGCAGAGTGAAGTTGATGGGCAGAGTGAAGTTGATGGTTTGAAGGCCGGTCACCCTCTTATAGCACTGACCAAACAGGCCAGGGGAAGCTCAGCAAAAAGACAACAGTGGCACAAAAAGGGGGTACCAAAACAAATACTGACTACGTCCCTGCAACTTTCCTCCTTTCCCATTCTGCCTCCAGCTTCGGCGAGTACCAGGACATTCAGTATCCCCATTTGCAAATAAGCTCCAATAATAGAGCCTCAAAAATTATTTATTGCTATCCCCAGCACCAGCGTATAGAATTGCTGATCTTCATCTTGCACGCGTATCAGGTTACTGCTGCTTTTGTGAGCTGCACAGCCAGGAGAGGTCCAACCTAAGCCTCAGGACTGCATGAAGCAGTTACTAGTATTTCTGCTGTAAGAAGCCCTTCCACAGGCCAGTTTAAGAGCAAGTCAGGTTCTTTATGCAGAAATTCGCACTACAGTGACTTAAAGGCAGTAAGTAGCTGAAACTGAAACTTTCTGAATTAACTCATGAAAACTTTCTCACAAAATAAGTAACCATCATCTAAACGGAGTTCTGGCAAACAACCTTTTAAGGCCAAATAAGACAAAAGTTAATCACTCTTCTCAGAAGTACATTATACAAAGATAAGTTAAATGTCTATGAGGTGATCGGCACCAGATGTATCCTCAGACTACTGACCAGAATCCAGACATGGTGCATCAAGGCAGACGGGAGAAAAAACAGTCTATAGGATAAGACACAGAAATGATGTAATATCAACCCAAGCTTTTACTGAAGTTGCCTGTATGATGGTTTTGCTCATTTTGGCTTGAATACTTGTTACTTTAGGAAGCAAGCGGTAAAGCCACAATTAAAAACAAAGAACCTCATGTTTCTTTAAATCTAGATACAAAAGAAAGAAAAAAAAAAAAGGTGGGGGGGAAGGAAAAAAGAAAAGCCTAGACAGTATGAAAGTCATCCCACACAGAAGCTGAGACATCACAGGTGAGTCAAGGCGTATTGCGAGAACAAAGATTGAACTGTCTCACTCACAAAAAAATAAAAACCAGCATGCCCACGCAGACTAGCCATTTGTGAGTCTCAAGACTAGCAAACCAAAGAACAAGACCATGAACAATTGCAGACTTTTGAGCCTTAGCTACTGGCATCTCACCTACCTGTAAGAGACCTGTATTATGGAGCACTACCTTAAAGGGCGCTTCGGAAAAGAAACCTATTGCTGAAGCAATAGAAACTACACACTAGGTAGGTTGTAGAAAACTCATTTTGTTCTTTTCCTTCCAGTCTCTAATTATCCTTCATTAGTTGAAATTCTTTGCTAGGGACTGGGTGACAACCTTAGCAACAATGCAGCTTTTTGCAAAGACAGGTCTTGCCTTACCCACCTTTCACAGTTTTAGAGTAACATCATGAGAACAGGCAGCTTTCCCCTGCCGATTCCCTGTGGCCTTTAAAGGCAAGGAATGTTCGTGCAACCAGATACGTTAAGCAACATTAACATTGTAAATTGTACATGAAGAGCTAAAGGTGCAAATTTGCTTGGTAGAACACTGGGGCTCAAGCTGCTCCTGCTCACAACCTTCATGAGTACTGTCCTAGAAGACAGTTCCAAGGATGTCATCCGTACCAGTAACAGGATTGAGCACCTTCTCCCCATCACCTCATCTCCATTCTCATCCTGTTAGAAAAGATGGTTTAATGAGGTCTCTATTTCACTATCCTCTCTTTACAGAGGAGCACTAGTTACACACATTCACAACTTTTTGATATGAATTAAATTAAATTTTGATATGAATTAAATTGGGTTAGGTCTGGCACAGCACCACTCTGGGAATATCAATAACTCCATCCAAGAGGCTGAAGATGATCAAGGGAAGGAGCTATGAAACATAATTCAAAAGTGCACAGCATCTCAAAAGCATATTATGAAAACCAATGTAATGCATGCTGAAGTCTTTACAATGAGGTTACCTGGAAAAATAAGTAGTAATCGTGCAGGCCTCACATCAGCATTTCATTGTTTAAAGATTAAATCACAATTCTTAAAATGGCACAGGCTGATATTTCACTTCTAGTTTCTTTGAAATAAGGGCATTTGCAAGAATCCCTATTATCTCCAAAGAGTGAGACAACTGACAGCCATACAACGCTCAGAGATTTGCAAGTTTTCCAGAAGCAACTGGTTGTTATTCTTTCTGCCTTTCCAGGGCCTTATGTATATTCAACTATGGAAATGTTTCTGTTCCTTACAAAAGGGCTCATTGAATCTCTAAGCACAAGGGAACAGACCAGCATGCTAATTGAAAATGCTTTATAATTTGTTTTTATTATATTAGCATTCTGTTTTGGTTCCTTGGTGCAAAGGATCAGCACTTCTTTCTACAGAGGGGAAACACTGAGATTTACAGCAGTGGCCGAGTTCTCTACGCTCTTGCTTCATGCCAGGCTCGCCGCACAGGCCTGGTGTCACCACGTTCTGGTTCAGACAGGTCCCTTTCACGTGGCCACCCTAGATGGTCACACTTCAGCTGCTTTGAAATTCCAGCTGATTTTCGTAGTCTTTTTATGTTTGTCATTTCACCCCGATGTCACAGACACTCACTGTCTTGAGTCCCTCCATGCACATACTTCTCTCCTTGAGAGATTAAATACTGAAAACATCAGGGCAACTCCTTTAATATCCCCTCCTACCCTGCATTCACTGACACACTCTTCTTCCATCCAGTTCACCCTGGGCTGCAGCTCCCCACAACATGAACAGGGGCACATGGACCCCAGACACAAGGACAGAAGCTGAAAACCTCCACCAAATAAAAAGATTGTCACAGATAGAGAATGAACACAACCTCTAAACATTTTAGATCTTTGCAAATTAATAGCAAGAGAAACATTCAGAAGTAGTGTTGATAGACATCTCTGTCGATGCTTGTCTAAGTCAATCAGTTCTACCTCAGATGGAAACAAGTATTTCATACTCTAGAAGCAGCTCAAACAGAACACTTTCTACAGAAACTTATTTTTTCCAGAGCACTGTGGATTCAAACCAGAAGTCCCAGAGTGAGAAGAAACTCCCTTCCTCAGGAGACCTGTGGGCAGATCCAGCTCCAGGTGAGGCCTAACCCAAGCCCCAAACCTGTGCTCTGCCCTCCACGGAGATGCAGGAGCTCCACGCGTGCCCAGGGCTGCTGTGCATCAGTCCCGCTGCAGACTAAACAGCGGCCACCAGCTCGTCCTCCACAGCACCGCTGCCGGCCTGGGCCCGAGCTAGGGCCTTGGGTCCGCGCTGAGCTCCTACTCACCCACGCCGCCTCCTCGGCTCCTTCCACGTTGTTTTCAACCTCCACTCATAAACACTGAGCTCCCCACAGAGGGGAAGTTGCCACACGCCAACCCCTCACAAAGATGATACTTCATTTTCAGTAAAGATCAGGGAAAACAAACAAGAAAGCCCACACAAATACAATAACTACTATATACAATATGGGAAGCTTGTAAATAAGTATCAAGTGCCTGAACTTATCTGTAACAGGCGACTTGAGACATTTATTTAGCTCCTATGTGTGTGGGGGAGACAGGTGGGGAGGAAGGAGGGGAGGACTGGAGAGGAAAATCAGATGTTCGGCACAAGAACTGTATTAAAAAGTACAGTTCAGATACAGGAATTGGTACAAGAGTATTACCTCAATGGTTTGTAACAGCTGTCACAGGATTTGTTGTTCAAAAAAAGGCAGGCTTAACAAAAACATTCTCATATGAAGGGCCTCTGCAATTGCTTATTTTACAAAAGCAGCATCATTGTCTTGCCAACAAAAGCACCTTAAAAATTAAGGCAACTAAGACAATTCTTCACTTTCACGTTAGCAACTCCAGTACACTGTGCAAATACGTGGGATTGTAGCTGCAAATAGCTCCTTCTCAGTGCTAGACCCCGTAACTTCATTGATACAGATTTCGGCATTTTCCCCGTGTTGGGAAAACTCTGAGCCTGTCTATTAGTCTTTCAGCTTTTCATTTAAAAAGGAAACAAAGTGGCTAAAGTAGCAGTGAAAGCTCTACTTTTACAGAACCACACCACCACAGAAATTGTGCATCTACTGCCCCAACATTCCCTGGAAAATCATCATACCCATCCCATCATCCTCAAATGAAGCAACTATCAAACACACTGAAACAGCTTAAATTTAATACTTACAGAGTCTACTGAGAACTGGCAAGGAAAAAAAATGGAATTGCTTAAGAGGTACCATCCTCCTCAGCTTCCAGAAGCAAGCCAATTATCACAAGGGGGAATTTGTTATTCCTACACAGAACGGCATCCCCTCCAGCTGAAAAGAGGCAAGTGAGAGCAAAGCTGTGCACATCACTTACTTTCCACC